AAGCGAGCCTTCTGAAGCAGTGAACAGCGTCGCTTTATAGGTAGACGCCTCCGTGAGGCGTACACTTTTGCCGTCCTCAAGAGTGCAGCTTGGGCAGGTATGATATGGGGCATATAGATCGCGATATCCTTTGCACTAAATCAACATGCAGTCATGACATTAATGCATTGATTACGTACCTAGCCCATGCTGCAGGCCGTGCATATGGAAGGCTTATATGTCACCCTCAGTCGCCAGGATATCCGAGCTTTCCCAAACGACCTCGGCTAGAGCTTCCCAGCATCGAGCCACATCCATGAATTCCAGGTTCATGGCAAGGCATAGGAATCTGTGGACATGGTCAGGCAGGACTAACGGGGGAATATCTATTTGCTTTTGTCCTAGTTGAATCGCGCCACGGCATAGTTTGGCAAGGCGGATGAAGCGCTGAATGCTCTCGACCTCAAGCCGGTGATACAACTCAGGATGATGCCCAAGCAGAGTAACAAGCGCGGCAAGGCCTGAGCCCATGCTGAACGTACTTGTGTGAGTGGCACACGATTTGCACAGTGCTGCTGCCGATTCAGAAGGGAAGCCAGCAGCGGCTGTAAGGCGCTCAGTGGCTTACTCATTGTAGCACCGGGGTGCCTGCGCAAAAATAATAGGCCAAGCAACACCGGTAATCGAAACAAAGCATGGCAGCTCAGATCACCATAAGACACACAAACCACTAGACTACCAGATACACAGGGCATAAGTACCACAATTGTATGGAAGTGGCTTGATGCATTGATCCTTACGCTGCTGGTCAGTGCGGTCAGCACTGACACACCAGTTTTTGGCACAAACTTTGCCGTGATATGTCAGAATATATGCTGCAATATCGGCTTTAATGATAGGAGTAGTCAGGGATCATTACGGACGGCGCAGAAGGTAGTCTTCGGGCGCATTGGTAGCGTCGGGACCGTGTGGGTAGCGTTGGGACCGTGGGGGTAGCGTCGGGACCGTGGGAGCTGCTGAAACGGAATAAGACTGTCCGCGGATTGTCCGCGTACAGTCCGTTTACCGAGATCTGGCATTTTCCCTCACCTGTCCGGACACTGTCCGCGGTCTGTCCAAGTACTGTCCGCGTACTGTCCGTTCCCAGTAACTTAGACGTCCTCGCTGCAAGAGTTGAAGTCCATTGTGATATATAGACCGACAGGTTCCCACGACAAGGGGCCCGAGGCCGAAGTAAGCTTCAGCGCTTCAGCCAACATTACAGTCGTTTGCATATGAAACCGAAAATCGGGTTTCCGTGAGTATTGTTTGTTCGAGCCAAATATACCCATATGCAGTAATGCGAGATGGCTTCTTGTGACTGTGTGACTCTGTAGACTGCAGCACGAAATGCAATCCTCCCTACAAAGTTGAGGACGCAGATTATGTAAGCGAGTCGCGCAGCGGCTCGCAAAGTGGACGCGGAGCCATTGCAGCGGATGCACCCAGACGGCCGCCCGACTATCATATTATCTCAGCATTGAATATTTCCAGCATCTCGCTAGTGCAGCGGTTAGTGTGATGGGTTACTTCAGATGTGGTGATTTGAGCTCGAGGTTCAATCCCGGCCACAGACAATATTTTAGACTTGTGATGATGTATGCCTTTCTAGTTGTCTTCACTCTGTAATGCAACTTGGAAATTTTATTGTGTTCTGTCTCAATGCAGTCATTCCATGGCGCCGATAGATGACATTGTGGCACTTTGAGTCCAGATAAGGGCCAATCTATACACAAAGCCTTTACTTGGTATTATACTTTGGGGTTCAGTTTGAAAAAATCAAAACTACATGTGTACTGATATACACAACCATTAAACTTCTCGTGATCATGGGAGGTGGTTTTACCGGTGTACAACTAAGGACTTGCAGTGAGTACACAACCTCCTCACCGCCTTAGGACTCCCATTCCGAAGCGAGTCGCCCCGACTTCAGACGAAGTACCCTCGCGACGCTGCGGGGTTACCGCCCAGTGCCTCGACCTTCCATTTATAGCGACTCGCATCCTTAACTTTGTAGGGAGGATTGCACTTTCTGACTGCAGCCCGCCCTCAGGCTGACAAACTGCATGTGCTGTGTAGTCTGTTGTAGACTCGATCTCGTAGCTCATCAAGGTAGATAGCAGGCTCTCCCTCAATAACTGATCGCACGAAGTTCATATCCTGCATGTCCAGAGTGCGCGGCCGGCCTCGAGGTCTAGCATTCGGGTTGATGACTGTGCCGTATTCCGTGTAGAGTCGGAGAACTTCGAAGACTGTGCTTATGCTGCATCCCGCAAGCTCAGAAATCACTCGGAGTGTCTTGTTTTGCTCATGGCACCAGACAATGATACGTTCACGTAGTTGTCGAGTGAGGTGAACCATGGTACCAGCCAGTCGATACTTCAAGTTCGAGACATCAATGAATGCTATCTGACAGTCACGCAGTCACAAGAAGCCATCTCGCATTACTGCATATGGGTATATTTGGCTCGAACAAACAATGCTCACGGAAACCCGATTTTCGGTTTCATATGCAAACGACTGTATGTCTTAATGTCAGAAACCATACACAGGGTACAATACCCATATTGAGCCACCGAGAAAGTGTGAAAGGAACCGGACAAAGGTCAAATTTTGTTCATAGTGTTGCCTTGCAAAACAAATGAAAGTTCAATGAACAGTGCTGAACAAAGATCATATCCTGTGTCACAATCAAATTTTTGCGCACTCAAAAGTAGTATTATTCTAATTCATTTCACTGACTGTGCAATGGACAATCATGAAAGAAGTTTGACCTTTGACTGATTATTTTCAAAGTTTTGTGCATGCTCAATATGGCTGATGTACCCAGTGATAGATTCAGGTGCAAGACACATTCAAAAAAACAAGCCCTGATAGAAAGATAAAACAGGTCGCCTTTATGCTGACGCGCAATTTACCGCCACAAACGCGTCCGTGGGAAACTCTTGACGCGTTGCAGCGGTCAGTGCGCGGCCACGCCTGCTATTTACTTGAAATCTGCCACGGTCTGCTCGCTGTGTCTGTATTGTTATATCGATAGCTATAACGGAAGAAGGGGACTACCGTAAAGGCGTTCCCGAACCGGTCAGAACAATGACGATCTCAATATCCGCGAAAACCGGTCAGCTCTCGATTCTGCCTACTGAGCTGATGCTTGCCACTTTATGCGAGCTTGATTACAGAAGCTTGATATGTATGAGAAGGGTAAGAATAAGTGTTTGCTCTGTCAATTTTGCATTCCGTAGAATGGATTTCCAGGTCTCGAAATTCTTCATGGACCTCATCGACACATCCCCACTTCTGACGTACATGATTGAACTTGCCAAACACGGAATGGAGAATGGCCCTTCTACGCGTATCAGCATCCCCGCGCGTCTCCAGCGTCTGCGGACACACGCGGAGGCGTGGAAGACCTTGAACTTCGAATCCGTGGAAGAGCTCAGCATGTCTGCGATGGATGACTGGGAGCTAACGGACGGAGTACTCGCTCGTGGGTATGGGCCGCATATGTTGCAGTTCAACGAGCTCCCAGGGCATAGTAGGGGCATCCCTGCGGCGGCGTGGGTCCTGAGGTTTGAGTTCCCCGTTCGGAACTTCAGGATGGATCCCTCGCAGGACCTTCTCATACTGATCGAGTTTCCGGAAAGGTGCGTGAACTGCTGCATCTTGCTTTTGCGAGCCTCTAGGCCCACGCGTGGTTGTGCAGTAACGGTGCTGCACCACCGGCACCCTGCAAGATCCACATTCGGACGCTGTCGGAGGGTACCCCCCATCCGCTGGCTCGGAATCCCGAAATTGTAATCCTGCTCCAGTATTATTACAGCGAGGATTGTATCTCCCACTTGCTCATATGCGGGGACAAGTTCGGATACATGTCCGAATACGAACGGCCCGAGGAAGAGCCCGGCGACGACATTGACCTTTTCGCGTACAACTGGCGAACCTCCGAGTCACTGCTGGTCCGTACGAATCCGCGCTCTCTCCTCATTCCACGGCACATACTGAATTCGCCCGTTGGATTCTGCATAGCATATGTACGCCGTCAACCAGCCCCTCGAGACATTCGCGTTCTTGTCCGACCAGTACATCCTCCTCGTCGTGGCCGAAGGGTCTCGCCCCCGGTTGGAAGTGTACGACCTCTCCACCACATCTTCTGCGCGCACAGAATGGACCGGGCAGGACTACCTCTGCGCGTTCACCTACGCGCCCATAAGCACCAACGACTCCATCAACATCGCCATCCAGTCCGCGCCCTCCCCCTCCTGGTCCTCCTCGCCCTCGCCCTCCTCCGGCAGCAACGTCCCCTTCCACTCCGCGCGGTCCACGCGCGTGCTCGCGGTATCGTACGAGTACATGAACCCCAGCCCGCAGGCGCCGCCGCAGGAGGAGTGCCACGGCGTCGTCAACCTCGTCCCATACGTGCACCTGCTCGACATGCTCCCGACGCGCGCGGAGGGCGCGGGCACGACGTGGCTGTGGGACGCGTGGGGCGCGGCGCGCACGTTCGTGCTCGCGGAGATGACGCCGGACATGTGGAGCGCGTGCGTGCACGGGAGCAGGTACGTGCACCTCGCGGTGGTGAGCGGGCAGGACAGGGTCGTCGCGGAGATTCTGGATTTTCGCGCCATGGCTGCTGCGGCGCGCTCGTTTCGAATATCACCATCACCATCGAGCGAGGACGTTCCACACGCCCGGCCGGATGATGGCTGGATGTACGCGGCTTATGGGGTTACGGTGTCGACGACGAAGGAGGATGATAATGATCGGTGCGTGATGATAAGTGAGGATAGCTTGGTGATAATGGAAGTGAGTCTTGTCTTGTTCTACGTGGCGACCAAGTACGTACTGAAAAGTGACTGCATAGGAAAAAGAGGATGGGGGGAGGACGTTCAGGGTTTGCAGTCTTTGATCCGTGCGGCCACATGGAATTGTATACATCAGTTAACCAAGTCTCGTCCACTGCCTAAACCTGACGATTGGAGCGTACGGCTTGACAAGGGCATTATTGACACCACTCCGATCCAAGACTCGCCTAAACGTCCTCGTCGCGCTCTATGGTCCTTGACCAGACAAATCAATAAAGTACGTCAAAATACCTGACGAATTCATCTCCGCGAGGCCCTGACTACGACATACGGCAGGTATACTTCTGCCTTACCCAACGGACCATAGACATCTATCCAACAGAGGCAGAAGCATGTCACTTCTTGATGATGATCAGACCCACATGCGGGATTCCCGTTGCCATTTGGTGGAGACGACTTCATCGAGGGGATTACCACGGCCAGTTCTGAGATTGCCATGGGGTGGCCAAGGCATGAACTCGTTCAATAATGGTACTGTTAAATTAGCAGCGTCTACGAGAGTCCGTCCGATTACATGTCGCTCTCCGAAACCCAATATCCCGAGGCACGTATCGTAAAAGTCCCAAGCTCGTATAATCAATCCATAAACGTCACCGCGCGTCACTATAAGACAGCCAGCGCGCCGCTCAGCAGCGAGATCGCGAGCACGGTCGCGACGGCGCCCATCTGCATCACTGACCCCTGCACGACGGCCCACGCCTGGACGCCGTTCGCCGAGGGCGGGAACGTCGTGGAAAACGCGTTGGTGGGATTGGGCCCGCCGACGATGCTGACGGTCGGCGCGGAGGCGGCGGGCTGCAGGCTGCTCGAAACGGATGAACCGGAGGCGACGACGGAGAATTTGTCGGAGACGGTGTACATGACGCCGTGCGTCGAGTTGAGGAAGAGGAGGAAGTAGTCGTCGGCGGCGGGGACGTCTTGCAGGAAGATGTTCAGGGAGGAGCTGTCTGCGGGGACTGGAGGGGGGATGCGTGTTAGTACGTGAGACATGATGTCTCGCAGAGGTGAAGGGGATTGGGAGAGCTCTCACCATCTTTCGCGGCATAAAGTAAACCGTCCTGGCTCAACCTCGCTAGCTCTACATCGAAAGAGGTGATCCCGTCTAGCAGTCCCTTCTTCCATGTAACGGGATTTGCTTGGCCGTTTACCCACTGCGTCCCGTTCGAAGGCGCCGTGATTTCAAAGTAAGCTGGCATACAGACTCGGGATTAATCTCTTCGAATACGCAGGTGAATACTGACAAGCATGGACGGCAAATGGGAGCAGCAGCCAAGCAGACAGCAAGCTTAGCAATGTTGCAGGAATCGGCGAGGGACGCATGCTGCCGGCTTTTGCGGGGTATACGGAAAACGAAGGACGGAATATGTTCTGGAAGACAGGAGACCCGATTAACAGCAGAATAAGAGGCAGCGGGGGAGGGGACGTCGGATCCGTTAGAAAAGAGAGGCTAGGTCGACTAGGGGACGCTCTAAGACGGTCAAGTCCGCCGTGTCGTTCGGATCCTTCGTCGGCAGGCTGTTTGCTCGTGTTTGGAAAGTGGCGGTGGCGTCCGAGCCCTCGCAAAGATTTGTGGCACTCGCACTGGCAGGCGAGTCCACTGCACATCGAAGGCGGCATCCCCTGGGTCTGAGAGTAGGCATCGAAATCTCGAAAGGAGTATATTCTATTGCTTTTCAATATTTAGGCTAACTCGGATATGCGTTACGGGGAGAAAACAATCAGGGATCGCGCAGAACAATATGCTCAATTATTCAAAGTTTTGGTATTATATGCATGTACTTCTATCAAACTCTCGTGTTGCACCAGTCTGCGGACAAGAACCAGCCAGGTAAGAGAAAACAATAGGGTTTTACGACATTTTCAGTGTACGTTGCCATGTATCGCCTCGGCAGTGGCTTTCCAAAACCGTTCGGGATCGTCCCAATGGACCTATACGCCTATCAGTACCGCTGAAAGCAGCCAGCTAGTGCATACGTCACTCACAAAATGATTGGCCTCCTTGATCTCCTGGAACGCAATCGGGCGCACCTTCTTTCCCTGGGCGAGCTGCTCCTTATACTGCCTCTCCGTCTCGATAAACCCATACGCGCAGAACCAATTCGTCCGCGTGCAATACTGGTGCACGACCTTCGTCCGCGGCAAAATCGTCCGCGCCATCTCCTCGTCGAACAACGCTCGCTGCGCCTGCTGTCGCAGCACGTTCTTCATATTAAAAATCATCGGCGCCTCCGTGCGCGCCGCCGCGAGCCCGTCATAGTTCTTTGCCATCTCCTTAGGCGTGAAGTGCCCTGCGCTCGCGTCCTTGCCGCGCTTCGAGAAGTCCATCCCCCGGACGGTGCGTGAGCCGAGGTCGGGGTGGTCGTAGTACCCCGAGACCCAGTACTGGAAGTTGTCGAAGATCTCCTGCGGGGTCTTGAACGCCGGGTCCGTGAATGGGCTGTACACGTCCGGCGGCTGGTCATGCCCGAACGTCAGGAATGGCGGGTCTGCACGTTGGCGTGAGTAAGCTGGATGCAGACGGGGCGATGTCGTTCTCGGATTGAACGCACCGTAGAGGATCAAGAGCCGGACGTACGGCTCCAGCTTCGCGTACGTCTCCTTCGGGACGACCTCCGGGTGCGCGAAGAGCGCGAGCGGCGTCGCGTTGCCCAGCGACCAGCCCATCAGCGCCAGCCCGCCCGTCTTCCCATCCGCGCTGGCAGGCGGGGGGTGCTGGGTGTCGACGAACCACACGAGGAAGTTCGCGACGTCGAGCGCGATGCGCTCCAGCGCGGTCTTGCGCGCCGCGTTCAGGTCGTCGAGCTCCGCGTCGGTGTACTTGGACGACCCGGCGTAGTCGCGCCGGTTCAGGATGACGAGGCGCACGTTGTCCTTCGCCCCGAGCGGGAGGAGCTTGTGGAAGGTATCTGTGGGGGCGAATTAGTAGGAGGAGGAGACAGACGGGCAGTATGCTGCGCACCTCCCGTGAAGGCTGAGCCATGGTAGATGACCAGGGTAGTGTAATCGCTCGATCCTGGCACGGGTCCGCTGTCTGTGTAGAAGAACTGAGTTCCCTTGGAGTCAATTGTAGCAGTGGGCATTTTGTGAGGCAATATTGGGGTGCCTCAGGCTGCTAGGCATTCTGGATTTTATCTTGCACATTTCCGCGACCGGAGGCGAGGGGGCCGCTCTTAGTCCATTCGGTAGGCCCCTTCGTAGGGTGTTGCTATGTCGCCGGACGCCACTAGCACTGGGGTCGATAGGCAAGGGAGTTCTGGCGCGATGTACGGAAGTATATCGCATCCCGTGCCTGGCATTATGGGCCCCGCACGTCGGGCAGATCGGTTCCATTCCAGAACCGCCAAAGTACCATCACCTTCGGAATCAGAAATGAAACGGACGATCGGGCACCCTCAATTTATAAGAACCCTTCGAAGTATAAAGGATCTTGATCCATCCATGTACATACCGGTACCGGCAGAGGCAGTATGTTGAGCAGGACTGTCAATGAGCAGGCTAACAAGGGCAATCCGACGCAAACGGACGGGTGCAAAGACAAATCTACACGTTGTATACAGTACACCCGCGCGGTCTGCGAAAGGCAACCCGAGCAAACTTGGCAAGCGAAGGCCGCACCACCATCACGCAAGGCCCGCCTGGACTTGCTGCTTGAACCGCTCGACAACAGGCACCATCCCGCCCTCGTCCACCGCAAACCCCAGCGACAGCGCGTACGCGTTATCGAACCGCGCCGGCCAGCTGCTCACGATCCGCCGGTTCGTCGCGTCGTCCTGGAACCTCACCCGCGCCACCGCCTCCTTGCCCCCGACCTGCTCGAGTGCCGCGAGCTCCTCGCGCACCGTCGCGGTGAACCCCGGCACGCACACCACGCGCGTGTGCGGCGCGAAGGCGGCGGCGGGGACGTGCTTCGCGATGATGAAGTTCTTGACAGTGGTTTCGGGGCTCGCGACCCATACTGCGAGGTCGAGCTCCGGGGAGGAGAGCGAGTTGCCGATGGGGCATGTGGTCTCGATACCTTTCAGCGGCTCACGGATGATAGCTGCAGGTAAGTCGTTTGATTAGTGGGGTACAACAGAAGAACGAGGGGAGAGGGAGAGAATGGAAGGGACGATGCTTGCCAGATAGGAATGAAGAGGTCGCTGCTGAAGGAGCACCGGGGCGGACGACAATGGTGGGTAGCCGGATAATGCGACCGTCGACGAAACCTCTCCTCGTGTACTCGTTAATCAGGATTTCAGAGAGGAGCTTACCCGCTCCATACGAGCCTTGGGGCGTCGCAATCGTGTCGGGTTTGATTACTTCAGGCTGGCGAGGCGCTATTAGACCAGGACTGCAATACAAGAAAGTACGGGTACTCGCCAGAGGCCCGCCATATACGGCCAGGGAAGATGTAAATATGAACTTTAGTGGGCGTCCGATGTCAGAACCAAATCGACGAGCCGCGTTCAGTACCAATCGGACCGAATCCACATTGACCTAGATCGCTTCAGTGAAACGCATCCACGACAAAAAAATATTCACTCACCTTCAGCCCAAAGTCGAAGTTGTCCTCCGCCCCGCGGGACATGATACCATGAAGGCAGTACACCGTGTCGGGGATTCCATGGGATGTCTGGAAGATGCCGTCAACTTGGCTTGGATCCGTCAAGTCGGCCTTGATGGTTATCGCGTTCGCGCCTGCGGGTGCCTTGGGCTCTACAATGTCAACGAGCACAAGCTGCACATCTGGAGTCTTTGGATCATCCAAGAGGGCGTTCACAAGCTATGGATGTTGTGATTAGTACACGAAGTCTGACGTGACGGGCGATACCCACCAAGCTCCCCAACCAACCCCCAGCACCGGTCACCAGCACTACGTTCCGTTCAGTCATGACCGTCTACTTAAGTCAACACGATGCTCCTGTGCCATGGTTTTCGGTCGGTCCGTAAGCTTGATCATGGGACGGAGAAGGTTTGGAGGATGTTGTATTTAGCGTATCGGGACCCCGTGATCCTGACTTATCCGTTTGTCCGCGAAATAATGATTGTTAGCTACAGACTCACATTCCACGTAAGAGTATCATGACTTCCTGACAAGTTCGAAAGCAAACCTACCTCGTCATAATATGATAAGAGGGACCGCTGGCCTGCCGTCGAAATTTCACGCTGCACTTGAGGCAGCTCCAGCCGACTCTGAGCAGCCAGAAGGAGCCCCAAGTTTCAGCGTGAGCATCTTCACTTCTCTTCAACGGATATGATCACTACGACCTCGCGCCGTACTGTACTGAGGCATTGGATACAGATGAGTTCGAGCTCGAGCTGACAACCCGATAGCAGCGGGCGCCGGGCGGGCCGTAGCATCCGGGATTTTCTTTGCTCACCGGAGTTCCTCCGCCATATCTCCGCTGTCCTTTCGAATCCGCCAACAATGATAGGGATCGACACTCAAAGTAGGACCTAGCCTCGGGTTTTGCATTGCGTGGATGATCTCGAACTGCCACTCAACCTTGCCTGCGCGTACTGCGATTTTCTGTGAGTCATGACGTCTGTGCAGTGCTGCGATATGGCGCTATCTGCTCACATAGGGGAGGTGCGTACGCGTACACCGCGGGGCGTGTGTCTGCAAACAGATATTAATAGGGTCCATATAGATGGAGGAGTGGGAGATACCCAACGTTCCCTTTGATAGTGCAGCACGGCCTGGATAATATGGGCCACCACGAGGGACGGTCTGCGCCGCTGGACACGAAGGGCTCGACTGGCGTTTTGCCTGTTTATTCTGGCCACGCTCCTTCGAACGCCAGGCTCTCATGGAGCAAGGGGTCTCTCAAGTTTATCGCGGCCCTGACTCTGCTGTTCCTGTTCCCCCGCCAGTTTGCGAGCACTTACTCTAGATGGAACCGGTTTGGCTCTGTGTCTACGACCGGCTTTGCAGTGGACTGGAAGTCCTGCGGCGACAACTTCGAATGCGCGAATATATCTCTTCCCCTGGACTATCACAATGAAAGCGATCCGCGGAGGGTGAGCATTGCCGTGACCAAGTATCTGGCGACGAATACGAGTCACAGGTGAGGTCGCATTCACTCTTACGAGAGCCCTTTACTGAACTCTATTAGGGAGGGTGCAGTGTTCATTAACCCTGGAGGTCCGGGTAAGCAGTATTTTCACGCGTCACTCGTTCCGCTCTGTATGGCCTTCGATCCCAGGTGGCTCCGGGACTAACATGGCGTTCACCAGAGGGCCAACGATGTCCGATGTCCTTCAAGGTACGCACCGTCCTTCTTGGCTACTGCCCACTCCCACCTAACTATGTGCCCCGCGCAAAGGACGCTACGACATCATCGGCTTCGACCCACGAGGGATTAATCTCACGCGCCCGTATGTCTCCTGTTTCGAGTCCAAGCTGGACGAGGACGTGTTTGCCTCAGCGGTGCACACCTTCCACCTCAACCTCCCGGTGAATGTGACCGAGAGCGTGCGGGCGGATTTGGAGGGGCAGGTGGCAGAGGCCGCGGCGGCTATGGAGGCGTTGAGTAAGCATTGCGCGGAGAGAGTCGGGGATGCGATGGCGTATATGGGTGCGTATTTCTCAAGTGCGGAGCCGACGGTTATCTGGAACGCTTCACAGGCACCGAGTTCGTCGTGAGGGATATCGACGCCATGTCGAGGATTATCGAGGGAGAGGATAAGCGTGTCAACTGTCAGTCAACTTATCTCCTTAGGGCAGTCCGAGTATACCTGATGCTGCGGTGTCCTTCCGTGCATAGACTGGGGCTTTTCGTACGGGACCATCCTCGGGCAATACCTGATCAAGATCCTCCCTCCCTCTCGTCTGGGAAAGATCATGATCGACGGTGTAGTCAACCCTGAAGTCTGGGTTGGCTATTCACCACGGTCCTTCGAAGGTACGTACCTAATTCTTTGTCCTATATTTTGATCAGCAAACACCTATTGCCTTGAAGGTTACTTCAACGATATCGACAACGTGCTCTACTCCTTCGCAGAGTCGTGTGTCTCCTCCGGGTCAGCATGCGCGCTCTCCGCTATGTCGCCTTCGGAGATCGTATCGAAACTCGACGAAACGATCGAGTCGCTGTATTACAATCCCCAGCCGATTACCGACCTCCCTGCACCTGCCGTAGCCACCGCCAGGAACATCCGCCAGCTGGTCTTCTCCGCCATGTACAGGATCAAGGATTGGCCTGATCTAGCTGTGCACCTTGATAACGCGTTCAAGGGGAACTACTCGGGCGTGGTGAACGCCAGCATGGTGCATATCGACCCGGAGGGCGCGAGCAAGCTCGACTATTCGTCGTACTCGGGGAATACAATCAGGGTACGTCCTCATCTCCCCGTCGTCGAGAGCAACACTGATTTCCGGTTAGTGCACGGATGCGAAACCCTACCCGTCCTCGAAGGACTTCCCGAGTAACTCCGACATCGCCGAGTATGTGGTGGAGTCGATGAAGACGTACTCGGGACGGATGGGGGATATGTTCTTCCCCTGGTCGTTCTGCCACCTTTGGGAGGGCATCTACCCGCGGCGCAGCCGATATGAGGGAACTTTTGAGATGGAGGACGGGACGCTGGATACGCCTATTCTGGTGCTCTCGTAAGTCGCTTCGCCTTGTATCCCATTTACAACGTGGACCGACTGCTTTGCGAATGTAGGAATACTTACGACCCGGTGACGCCCCTTTCAAACGCTATTCTCGCAAAGGAACGCCTAGGAGACAACGCGAGGCTGATTCAGCAGGTGGATGGGTGGGGGCACTGCACCATTGCCCAGAAGTCATACTGCACTGGGGAAATTATCAGCAGGTACATGCTCGATGGCGAGGTGCCCAAGGAGAACCATACTCTGTGCAATGTGGTGGAGAAACCGTTCGTGCCGGCAGAGGAAGCGCCGGGAGACGATGGAGAGAAGGCCTGGGCCAGGCTTGTTGATGAGTGGCAATTCGAATAATGTTGTATTCCGTAACCTGCAGGCTGATAGACAATAGTTCTCGAAGAATAATGCCCCTAGTGCATTCATGGACCGGAGTGCTCGTATAAGGTTGCGTCGATTTCAATTTTCGGACGAATTCCTCCCCCATCTTCCTTGTCATTCCAGGTTTGATATGCTGGGAGGCATTTCGCGACTGAATGGAACGGTCGGGTGCGTTTCGAACTCGCCAGTCGTCTATTCCACAGCGATGTCTTCCCCAATGGATCCGCACTGTGTGGCGGCGCACATAGTTCCCGCGCTGTTTGCGGGTCATCCCGGTCCATACGGCTAGTTCTCGTTCTCGGTTCTGTTTCGTGTTCAGGACGACGCATCGTGGTTCTTATATTACTCACACCCCTTCCCCCGAATTATGCAGGATTTTGGTGATCCGTCGAGGATTGTGACTCTTCCCGGCCTTTTATTAAGATGGCGTGCCCATGAGATGGGTTCTCTTTCTTTCCGCCGCCACCGTCATAATGTAAGGTACAGCAGTCAATCACGATTCAGCGATAAGCTCTTTTCATCCCCACCCGCAGGGAGAATCTACATCTCCGCGCTAGCTATACGCGCTGCGGTCGGGCCCTCGGGGCATACGAGACTTCAATGTCAACCTGAGTTTGATGAGTACGCCTAAGCAACGCCGTACATATAAATCAAGCTGCAGTAAGTGTACATGGACAACAGTGAATACTGGAGACAAAAAAGGAAGTTGGGCACTAGAGTTTCTGACGTAGCACGGGTGGATGGTACCAGGACTACAGATATGATCGGTGCCCGTACCGGAGCTCGCAAGCATCTGAGTTGTCGCTATCTGCATTCTCAGCGTTCGCCCCTCCCATTCTAGTCCTCGTCCTCTTCGTCCTCGCCCTCTTCGTCCTCATCATCATCATCATCTTCGTTCTCTTCCTCTTCCTCCGCCTCCCCATCCTCTGAATCCTTAGCATCTAAACCCCAAGGGTCCGAGTCCTCAGCACCCGACTCGTCGCCTCCTGGATCGTCTGAAACCTCGGTATGCAAATCTCCTTCAGACACCTCGTCTCCATCTTCTTCACTTTCGTCTTCATCGCCATCTTCTTCAGACCTAACATCCCTGCCTGTATAGCTCGAACCTTCATCGCCGCCCCAACCAGCTAAGCTTGGGCCTTCCAAATCGTCGGGACATTTTTAATCTCCGCCGGCGGACGCAAAGTGAGCATCCCGACTATATCCTGCAGCCGTGCTATATCCTGACTCGACAAGCCCACGACACCACGGATGTCGAGGTGCATTATCCGCGAGACGCTGCCGGATCGTTCCCTCGCTTCTAAGGCAATGGATAGCTTCTGGACGAAGGCTGTGTCGTAGTGCTCCGGTCCGCTCTCCTCCAAAGTCAGGTATTGCAGCGCCGGAAATATGACACCGGGCCTGGCAGGCCCAGCGTCTCCCGACCCCAAGTCGCTGGAAACCGCGGTGTGAGTGACCTCGTCCATCACTAAAGCGTCGACGAAAGCCTCGTCAACACCAGTAACCCATAGCCTAGTGACCTGTGCTAGGTGTCCCAGTCGACGCCTCCAATCGTCGGATGACATTCGGGTTCCCACCTCGAGGAACTCGAGATTGGCCGTGGTCAGAGAACGAAACAAGATGTCTTTTCCTTCTTCGTACTCTGCAGGAGTTTCAACTTTGTGCTTGTCCATGCACAGGGAAATAGATATCTTGGGAGTGTTGCCGGTCAGTCCACCATCCACCCATGGCACATACTCCTGATATCTGGAAATGGAATCAACAGAGTACCAACCATCATTGACTGAGCTTTGCTTCCATGTCTCGGCAACAGTAAGTTTTCTCTGGCATTGTGAAGCCAAGGAGGCCTGAATTAGGTTGACAATAGATCGCAGGGCAGTGGAAATAGGGACATCTCCTGTGATTATCTTTGTACCCCAAGTGAACCAATATGAACATCTGAAGTGGTCAATCACAATGTTAATTTCTGCTGCTTGTGGAACATGGAGGCTTGCAATAAGTCCAGAGCAAACAAGGAGTTCATCCTGTATAACAAGGCTTTGAAGGTGAGGCATAGTCATCTTTGTTGTTTGGTCTGATGCCAGATACCAGAAGTCTTCATCCCCATGTGAAGAGGTGGCATTGATGAGTGTCAGATGTTGTAGCTGGGGAAGGCAGTGAAGGGTAAACAACAAAAGAGGAATGTCACTTGTGAATCCAGTGATTGACAAAGATGTGACTGAGGGCTTGATAAACCTTTCATATGACTTGATGCAGAGAAAACGCACAGCAAGGTGCTTCAGATTTGGCAGCTCAAGGTTTGCTATCCACTTGGTAGAAGTCCCAAAGTCACATGCACCCCATTTTGAGAGAGTGACAGAATTTATTGCTACCACCTCCTGCTTCCGGAGCTTCCAGGAATTCCTTGATGCATCATCATGATCATCATCTTGCAACTCGATGTTCACATGGAGCTCCTGGATTAGCTGGAGCTTCTTCATAGCAAGCCGAAATTCTTTGGTTGGGCCATTGCAAGCCTGTGGCCAGGGTTGAAGAGATGTATAGACAATTGAGGAGCCTTGGATCCTCTTTTGCATGTCAGTGGAGGGTAGAGAGCCATCCAGTCTGATGTATGCAGAGAGGACTGGTGTCTTGAGCACAAGATCCCGCCAGGCAGTGCAGACTTCACTGAGTTCGACTGTAGATGTTGGTTCCGAACATTCAGATGTGGTGATGTAAGGAGAAACATCATCTTCCAAAACAAGCACAAGAATCCTCACCAGGAGCTCTGTCGGGAGTCGCCCCACGGGCACGAGACTGTTTCGACTATGTTTTAGTCTGCCCCGCTCGACTTTGAGTTTCCTGATTTGATCCTGCAGCCTTTTTACTTCCTGGCCGCGGCGAAGGATGCCGAGGTCTGTCTCTTCGAGTCTTCTCTTCGCCTCTTGATCAAGCCGCAGATTTACCTGCCGGAACAATGCCTCGGCCCTAAAAACGAGGATATATCATGAGACTGCAGAGGCGATGGACCACGTCCCCTTGGAGGACATCCCTTACCGCTCTTCCATTTGCTTATACTCCCGTTCTGAGTCCATTTCAACAAAATTCCCTTCTAACTTGTGTTGGTGTTAGATGCCATGAGTAAAAATGATGCATGATCGCACCAAGTGTCCTGCCATAAGCTCAAGGAAGACGTTTGATTTTTGCCACTTGCAATCACTCCACTCGGAGAGTCGTCAGTTCGGCGCAACGCTGCAAACGCGAGGCGCGTTATTTTGTGCTGTTTGGTCCATGTGGCTCTGAGCGCTCTACATGCGGATGGATGCCTTACGAGGCCGCCACCTTTCAGCGATGCCTGAATGTTCAAGGAGATACCTGGCTCACGCCCATCTGACCTCTGTGTGGGTTAATTGACTGTGTCCAAGGTACATGTACATCCTCGGACGCTCGCGATCGGTTGCCGAGTGATTTGGAGGGAGCTGAGGGCTGTTGAAACAGTTGGAAGGGCTACGTATATACGTATACACCGACTCTTGTAGGGACTTTGAGGCCACGATCGCGACAATGACGAGGCCACCATTGGCACCAATCTGCTGCGATAAGCAAGGCAGCTGCAACCTTAGTCTAGTGGCGGTGTTCTTCATCAACATCAGAGCATGTGAGTCCACTCCCACTTCCAGACTGTACCCCGATGTGTCCGTACATGAGCACACTCCATCATTAGCTGATATAGCCTCGGCGATGGACCGCCGTTAGCTTAGCGCCGTATGTACTGATCCTTTCTCATGATTGCGGAACTGAGAGAGCAAATCGTTATGCCAGTCCTACTTAGCTCCACCTCCTTTCAAACCTCATCTCCCGCCGTGCGGCACAAGGCCGCCTCTTAATTTCCTCTCCTTTCCTCTTCACTCACTGTGTAATCACTGCTGAGGCCGATGAGTCTCTCTCTGCAGCGGGTACGTTCAAGAGCGGATTGCTGCGCTGGCTTTCCTGACGACCGATGTGGTTAGGGTAATATTCTCTGGCTATGGGTAAGGCGCATGATAGTAGTAGTGCTGTGATAAGAGGCTGACAAGTGAGGTGCAGCTTCAGAGCGTGTTGTATGGTGAGCATGTCGTGCCTTATCCTCGTCCTAGTGCCGTACCGAAATCTGATATCCGTGCAGGCATGTACACAATAATCTTCGCAGGATGTGTGTACATCCTACAGTCACGAAAGCTCTTCAGCGGCTCCAAGGAGTACAAGCTGATGCTCGTCGTCGTGTCCCTCTTCATATGTGCCACGGCCGAGGCAGTGATCTATTTCGCGTACACGTTTATACTCAGTGATGTTCAATCGGATATGCCCTATCCCGGAGAGACGGAGAAGCAGCTCCACGAGAAGAACACAGACAACCTTCTCGCTTGCATACTAGCTCCAATCGTTGCTACCAATACGTGCGTCGTTATCACCCTTTTCGGTGTTTCTGTTTAGCATGATTGTGAATAGGGTAATCGCAGACGGTCTCCTAGTGAGTGTAACAGCATGGGACTCTGTAGAGTCTGCTACTCACAATGGCGTATTACGAGTAGATATGGCGCTCTTTCGTGGTATGGGAAAGACGAAAGAGCGTCATAATAGTCCCCAGCTTCCTTCTTCTTGCTGGAGCAGGTATGGCACCCTCGCCGGTCCTCCTCGCCTATTCTCATTGATCATCGACAACCCTAACAGCGTGCGGATACGCACTGACATACTTCGCGGCAGAAGCCTATCTGGTCAGGCTTCACCTGCCCTTGTCCGTGACGACACCTCCCGAGGGGTGGATCCATGCCGGAAAGTGGTCGATGATCATGCGGACGGTCTTCTTTTCCACGTCTCTCGCTACGAATGTCTTCGTAACCGCGCTGATAGGTTCGTGGCCTTATCTCCGCCTGCCTTTTCCGTCCCACTGACTTTGTCCGTACCCTGCCAGCCGGACGTATATGGTGGCTGAATAATGGGCTGGGGGACGTGCTCGGGCACAAGCATGTCAAGCCCTACGGCCGTATAGTCACAGTCTTGTGAGTCCCTGTTCTCATACCTCCTGCTGCACGCTAAGCTTGACTGCACGCCAGAATTGAATCGGGCGCGATCAACTCGGCGTGCTTGCTCCTGGGCTTGATCATGGACGGCCCGTTCAATACTCATATAATTCAAGGGGTAGAAAACCATTTATTGCTGACCCTGAAGGGCACCTTCTCACCGTCATTTGCCGCTCAGGCGTCAGGCTCCGAATTCCAAGTGGCAACATTCGTAGTATTTCCCAGTACCATCGCCGTACGTCCATCCAGGCCCGCTCTTCACCAATACTGACCTTCTGCGACCCGCAGAACATATTCCCCACGCTCCTCGTCGTCCTCGTCGCGCTCGGGAAGACGACGCAGCCGACCACCGTGGCAATGGCGACCCGAGAGGGCGCCGTCGACACGCGCGTGACGCTGCCGACGATATTGTTCGCGCACACGGGCATGGATTCTACGCAGAGCACCGATTCGTGCGAGATGGTGGCGAGGCGCGTGGAGTTCAATGCGCAAAAGCAGAATAGACCTATGGAGAGACGGAACTCCGCGCTTTCAACGGCATGATGATTATAAGCATGACGAGAATCAGGATTAGATGTTGATCTCTGGATTGTAAGTTCTTCGTGTTCGGATGGGAGTATCCTACTAAAGGCTCATGCGTTGTCTAGAATTTGTTATATTGATGTATAAGGCAAGCAGATGCCTTCCAACGGACTCTAATAGGTCGTACGTATGTGGAGTATACTAGTGCAGAGGCCAGCGTTGCCGAACAGGAGGGATTTACTCACCCTATCCAGCGACTTCCCTCTGACCCATGTCTCCGTTACATCGAAACATCACTAACCCCAAACACATGAAGCGCTGTAGTCGTCTGTCTTCTCGCGGACATCCGAGAGTATGAGGGGTCAGATTGCAGAACTGACATTTTCGCGGCAGACTTGTAGTATTGTTGCGCGTACTGCACCCGACCGGCGACTACGATCTGGAGGACAAGGTTAGGGCTTAGAAGGTATCCGGACCGGGACCGCGTTCTAACTTGAGCATGAGACCCATCGTCATCGTGCACTCTGACTAACCACGACCCGCATACAAATCGGCCTTGAATGTCACCGCTACGTTATCAATTCATTGCAGGCTGAGCCTCCGCCGCATGAGAGTAACCGCCTTGCGTACCAACAGCTGTTGAAATGCCATTCGAAGGTAACCGGACGCTCGACATCCTCTACAAGGCACAGCGCGGGGGATACGGAATCCTTTCACAAGCATGGTAGGCGGCATTCTATTCGATAGCCAAGTTACTTATCGGGATTGAACTCCCAGCTACGATACCAACTCCGTGGTGGCTCTCATCCGCGCCGCCGAGCGCTGCAGGAGCCCCGCCATGGTGATGATCTTCCCCGTCACGCTGATGTACGGCAAGGGTCCTTTCCTCCAGTTCTGTGTCACCGCGTAAGTGTTACCCATTATCTTCTATACTCTTGAGGGTCTGGTCAGCGTAAATATGCACGACTCTGATGTCTTCCAGAGCACGAGATGCCTCAGTGCCCATCGCAGTGCACCTAGACCACGCGACTGATCCGGAACACTTGGAGCTCGCCCTGGGGCTCGCAGAGCAGGGAATCAAGTTTGACAGCATCATGGTTGACGCTAGTCACGCAGAGGTAACTTCCGCAGGTTGTCGCAGACGTTTTTCTGCTGCAGCTAATTCGTGCCATGCCAGACGGACGAGGAGAACATTGCCATCGCACGTCCGTACGTCGAGCGCGCTGCGAAGCTGGGGATTCCGGTAGAGGTGGAGCTCGGCCGCCTGGAGGGCGGCGAGGCGGGCCTGAGGATGATATCCGACGCAAAGCTCACGAATCCTCAGAAGGCGAAGGAATTCATAGAGGGGTACATGTTTCCAGTTTTTTGTCTTGAGCCTGAGGCTGATGCTCAAGCTCGATCAGCACTGGTGCGACCATCCTCGCACCGAGTATCGGCAACCTGCACGGAAAGTATATCAATCCTCCCAATTTCAGGCAAGACATGTACGTGCACTACTCCCGATGGCGCTCATCACGAAGTCTGATATTTTTGTTTCGGCGAATGATCAGTCTACAGGACTTACGGGACACCTTCCAAGGCGCTGTTCCCATTTGTCTCCATGGAACGGACGAGCTCCCGGATGCTCTCTTTCGCGAATGCATCCGGAACGGCGTGAGCAAGGTAAGATCTGCCTGAAGTGATATCTCCCACCTAAGCTTGACAAGCACAATGCATTCGTAGATAAATCTGAACAGCTGGGCGAGAGATCCGTACGCCAAAGCGCTCGGCGAAGCACTCTTGACTAAGCCGTTTCCCGACGCGGTCGAGGAAGCTACTGAGGTGTTTGCCGCGGTCTGCGAGAGATTCTACATTCTGTTTGGATCGGCAGGGAAGGCGTGACTGAGTGCTGCTCGACGGGCTTTAGCACCCAGGGGAAGCGACTTCCTAGTCTACGCCATGCCGTGAAGAGTGGAGACTGTGCCGTCTGAGATGCGAAAGATGGGTTTACGGAACCAGGATTATCCAACATCTCGAGTAGTCATCTAGACTGATCTAGTGTACGTCGATGAAGTGGCCGTGGGGTCATCGGAATACAGCGCGATAGGCTAAACTCGTACGAAGGGACATAGTCGGCAGTGGTTCGAGTAAGCACATCGGAAGAGGCTAGCAAGAACAAGAGTGCCTGATACGTGATGAATCGCGAAATATGTGCATAGTCAGCGATCAAGCTATACCCAGTGGTCGTTGCTCGCGAGTCGCCGACACTAGTTGCATGTTCCCCGCAGCCGGGTCAATATTGCTCGCCGGGGCTTGCAAACTTTCTTAGCCAGGAGAGTGAACGAGAAGCACAAGGAGCGCAGACCGGTCACCCGCGAGTCGGCTTCGGACAAGTCGCCGGCAGACGCTGTACGCGTATTCATGCCACAACAGTGTCATAACCTTGGCAACTGCTCGATAGACCGTCAGGTCTATCCCTCCCCACTCCAAGGAAAACGACGTACATGCGTTCCGTTTCTATTTGTAGGTTACTCCGGCAACCCGCGCGTTATAGGCGTAGAAAAACGTCCGCAAGGCGCAGCCAACGCCCAATAGTCCACCATCTATCTTCACAAGAGCGATGCGTCCATGTATGCATTGAAATCTTTCTCAGGTTCGTCCCAGTGCATCTATATGAAGTTCTTGGTTAGTTTCAGGCAACAGTACGAGCCACAGATATATACGAAGTGGTTCACGCCCGGTATGATGCTGAAACGCACAAAGCCACCTCCGTTCTTCTCATCATCATCGTGAATCGACCACAAGGCATTCAGCGAAAACGAGCAAGTTGCATCGCCCGTCAGCAGCGACACCTTCAACCTAGGCATCGTGGCACGAACGCCTTCGTGTAACAAAGATTTCCGGTAAATCGCATTGGCTTGAGCTTGGGTCGTGAACATGCCAGCTAGCTCCTGTGGCCCTTCGTCGATCATTTCCGAAAGCTCCTCAACAGACGTGTTGTAGATCGACGGAGCACGTGTGGTGCCGGGCACAATGTAGGATAGCACATGAACGTTGCGAGACGCCAGTTCGCCATGATCGAAGTATGAGGTGATCCAACGGGTATAGAAGGGCGTCTGCCAGTCCTCTGGGATAGACCCGTCCATGTGAGGAGACCAGAGCGTCGGCGAGAGAGGTAGGCCAAAGAAGATGGAGGGGTGTTCTGCGTTGCATGTAAGTAGTGTGCATTCGAAGGTGGGATATTCCTCGGACCTTGCATAACATACGCGCGAATATAATCCGCGAAGCGCTTCTGACCTTCGGCGGGGAGTCTATGCGCGTTCGCAAGCGCTGCAGCGGCCAAGCCGTTCCCAGAAGACCACCCGAGGACGCAGACACCGCCCCTTTTGACTTCGCTCGATATGGGCGGCAGATTGCTCTTCTGTATGAACAGTCGATGAACTGTGCCAGCTCGAGGCCCTGCGCATTGAGGAATGCGGCCTTCTCCTCGTCGGTCGCTAAGCAGGACTGCCATCTCTGATGGTGGAACCACCGTAGAACCCTTGTAATTTCGCCAGCAAAACAGATGCCGGCTTCGCGTGCAATGTCCTGCACTTTCTTAAAGACAGCTAACGGGACGAAGGTTTGACCATATTTCAGGGTATGGTCTACAGAGCGACTTACGAGCAGCAAAACACATCCCATGGATAGCAACAATAGCCACGTAGGACGCATTCTCTGGAGGCGCCCCGTTGTCAGTATACGAAAACGTGGTTCCGGTGGTGTCGACGGTAAGGGATTGTATCTGGAAGGATCTCGAGGATCTCGGACTTAGGTGAGTACCAAACTTGTTTCTGAGGAACGCTGGTCATCGCATCTCTACTTAACCGAAAGGCATTGACGATACTGATGACATCCCATTTTTGTAGGATTCCTGGAATACCTGTAGGTAAGCTCACAGGAAATCAAGGTACAGAAATTCGTGAACGGACCTTTGGGGATCGCGGACTGCAATAAATTGTGCCGCCTCCAATCCGAAGATTAAGTGGCGGAGAAATGTAGATGTCCGAGGTCTGAAAGCACGGACCACTGTGCAGCTCGGCGATGTCGGTCGCAGTTGTCAGCAGATTGTCCGCGAAGACTAGAGGTTAGCGGGAAGGGCGGGGCGTTTGCACTGCATAAGTAGCGCACAACGGCACTGTTTATGACAGCCTTCATAGTCCACCACATTTTAGTTGACGCCCAAGTCGCATTGATTGGACGATCAAGAGAACTAAAATCCTAGGAAAGGAAGTGCCGACGTAAGCCCATAGAGGATATGCCGAAACTTCCTAATTCCTCATTGCATCGGGTGCTGCTTGTGCTCTTCCCCATCGATGATGATTGTACCGCCCTGGATGAGGTGGCTGGAGTGTAACCCTGATTTGGCGCTGTGATTTGGATGTGCATTGCAGGAAAAGGCAGACATGATATACAGGAATATTAGTGCTCGCGGCGGACGCGAGTCCGCTCGCCCAAACCTGGGCAAATGGAATCGCTGTCGCTTGGATATCGACTGAAGCTCATGACCACTTAGTACCCGCCTCACAAGTAGGCCATCCACCTCTTAAACGGATGCGGCAGGGATATCTAGGGAAGGAAATAGGCGCGGTTCATCCTCCTCTTGAGACAATCCAAGTCAGTTTCTACACGGAAATAGGCATATCAGTGCGTGATGCATACTGTAGAAAACCTAACAGATTATGTACCACAGTCACGCGTGATTTCCATCGTAAGACCGAACTGTTGCACCCGATCTACGTCGTACGAATCTTGCCCGTACCGTTCTGGAAGAAGCCCGGGCCGATAACAACGCACAATGACATCTCGAAAGCCGCACGAGCGAGCTGTGCAGCATAACTCCAAGAGGTTATGCCTCACATCCACATATAATTCTGTGTCTGAATAGTAGAGCTCCATGTCCGCATACTCTAGAGTCAATGTATGCAGTGAAGCGCAAGTCGGCTCTCTTGCCGACTCTCTCATTCGGCCCAGGGCTTCCATGAAGCTTCGACTGTCTTTTTCTGCTGAATGGAGCCAAAGGTGCTGAAGATGCGGGAACAGCTGGAGCATCCTGGTCGCAAGAGCAGAGTCAAGGTCGATGCCATCTTCATCGGTGCGAAGGAGTAACAGCGACAGCGTCTGCGATCCGTATGCCCTCGGCATTCTCTCCAGTACATCGATAAGTGCCGTCAAAGAAAGGAGGCCTAGGTGAAGCAGACAGAGTGACGACAGGTTCGGCGCAGAGAACACATGGAAGGTCCCCCGAATGAAAGTGCCGAGTCTCTGCTCCGAGTCGTCGTTGAAGGAAAGCCTAAGAGTTCTTAAGCAAGGAAGCTGTACGGGGTACGGGTGTCGGGTTCGGACACTTGAGTCGCTGACAAAACATTTCCCGTCAAGACCCAGATGAACCAACGCGGGGCAGTGCTCAAGTATACTACGGAATTCCGAAACACTTAATCGAATTTGTGGGCGGAGACCCATCATCTCCAGACTTGTCAGCCCAACGAGGAGCTTCAGGTTCGTCCTAATTATCGGCCCACGAAGCTGGACTTCCGAGAGGGAGGGTGCCCCCGATTGAAACAATCCTTGTAGCCAATCCCCCTTGTCGTGCCACAACATACAGAAGTGCTGAAGGTGGGGCGCACAGACATTCCCGAGCATCTCCTCAATGGCGCGAGCGAACATAGGCCAATCGAAGGAGGACGTAGTCCACATGCTCTCCCCCAGGTGAAATGACACCCATCGGTGGATACATGGCGAAAGCTCGCGCAAGAGAATTCCCAGCCTCTCTCTGCCCCCATTCGTCGAATTCCAATTACGATTCCAGGTCCTAAACCGGAGGTATACATTCAGAAGACAAGGGCCCGATCTCTGTATTCGCAATCGCAGGAGCTGAGGTGAACTATCCAGCGAGACCTCGATATGACTCCACATTATGGGCGATCGCAAGATTATGGCCCTCCAGCGCATGTTCACCCAGGATATCGCAAATGGGAATCGCGGCCTGTCCCGCGGAGGGGAAAGTATGTCGGCCCAGATCCATATCTTGATCCATATCTCTTCGGGAACGACCTGCGCCGGGGACACCTGCGATGCAAGGCGCAAACGCTCCTCTACAAGCCCCTCTAGGACTTTCTCTGCCATGGCGAGACGCTGCTCCGCAGGCGGGAGTACTTGAGCCCGCGTACGTGTTCGTTGATCCAACGCTTGCAAGGCGACGTCAATGCCTTCGAGGGATTGGACTGGAAGAAGATCTCCTGGAGCGATTGGAGTGCAAGCGTGGTCCCTCTCTTTCTTCAAGACCGCGAGATCATTCCGAATGCGTTCAACCTCTTCCCTCGCAGATCCAGCAATAGACGCTGCCTCGTCGACGTGCGCGTTTGCTGCACGAAGCTCGCGCATCGTTTCGGGATCCCTGAAACGATCCATAGGCTTGAAGTTCCCCCCCAAACTTAAGCTACAGGATCGTATGAGCTGATAGGCTGACTTCATTCGACAACGCTCACCGGCCGCAAAGCTCAGTACTGCGTTCGGACAGGTAACGGGAGTCGTTTGGGGTTTGAACTTGCCAGGAGGTGGAGGCGATGGAGGCGATTTACTTGTAAGATGGCCACGCTGCAGGCACCTGTCGGATGACACGAGGCGTTCGGAGTCATTGAAGTATTCTATAATATAATCAAGTAGGACACGCATTAGACAAGCGGGAAGACTCCGGCAGGGTCTATACACTCACCTAACATCGGATAGACCGGGACCCAGGACTACAGTCGGGAGATCCGGGATTCTTGCACAAGTACATGGAAGTCGATTATCCATATCGCATCGTTCGCATCAGGAAAGAGAGATCCAGGGCATCCATTGGCATGGACAGGTACCAAGATCTCGAATGGTGGACCTTGCCAATATCTTCTCCGTACGTGTCGTCGAAGACAGTGCATCGATGACTCATCTAGACACATACGGGCGAAGAACGACCCCCTTGACTCGAGAGTCCAGAACAGAGTGTCGCGTCACCATCCAGGAAGAATGTCGCAGGAAAGTCCCGGAGAAGCTCCGCGTCGAAGTCCAGGTCATGCATCCTAACCAGGGTGCCGCCACCGCGAGTCGGCTGAGGTAAGATTGGACCAGTGCTAGTACCTCGGTGATCGCAGCGGTAGTAAAACCGCATATCGATCCAGGTCATCAAGACCAAGTCGACAGTGTCGACCTCCATCCAAGGCGCCAACCCAAGATTGGAAGCACGACAGGGATACTGCGCGCAAGCGTGCTTGAGGGAGGAGAGCGCGACAGCGATCCGTATCTTCCGGACAAGAGATATCATGAGCGCGGGACATGCCCCTCCCGTGGCGCGCTACAAAGACAAGGACAAAGAACTAGAGTGGCGTAGCGATCCTCGCGCACGAACGTTCGAAAGGGTGTTTCACGCTCCTCAACGCAATGTCACCGTAATGATGCATAGACCCTGCGCATACATACATGTATATTCCGAGCTGCACAACGACGATGGAGATAAGGTATCTCGCGGGAACCGTGCGAGCTGGGAACGGGATCGGCACTATGAATCCGACGCGCGACGGAGAAAAGTCGGGGGCCACGGGTGGTCTAAGTTGGCCAGCAGAACTCGGACAATGAACCGCGGTCATGGTCGATTTCCAGTCCTATACATGCAAACATTTGAGAAAGCCGAAGATAACATGCAGAGGCGGAGTGCAAATAATTCGACCGAATCAAGCGTGAGCGCGCAAGATATGTCTTTCGGCTAGCTGAAATGTCCTCGAGGGAGGCCTTCAACGTCGATTGAGCCTGCAGTGAGTCGTCGTTTGAGTCAGGATTTCGGACCAAGAAGCCATGGCGTACAGATAAATTTGATGGCGTCGGCCTGCACCCAAGCCGTCTGCCGCTCAGAGGAATCAAGACCGCACGCATGATAAGTATGAGAGCGAGCCAAGAACAATACGTTTTGAGGTCGAGATGACATCGAGAGTGCGGGAGGAGCACGAACATAGGACAGCCACGAGGAAGGGAAGATTTCGGGATCCGACCATAGTGAGATAGTCCTGCGCACGAACGCTTGGAAGGGTGCATCTTCCGTAACCCCACTCCTTACATGCTTAGACTCGACGTCAGCCTGGCGACTCCGCCCATGTACGGACGCCCTCAAACTTATGCTGCTTCACGTGAGGCAGCTTCAAGTTCATCTCCGGGAAGCCAGTATGAAGTTACCAAGTGGAATGCATAACAGGATTTTCAGGAAGACGTACCGGAGGGCTGGGGAGAGCGAGAAAGCTTTAGGACATCAAAAACAACTAAGAGAGTGGTATATTAGTTGTGGAAGCTACACCGGAGGATTGCGTGGCTCGAGGAACCATTGCTGGCCCCGCGGCGCCCCACTGGCTATTGGACTTACAGAGGACATAACGCTTGCGCTCGCCGCTGAACTTGACAGCGGGTTCCAAACACCTCGCGCTTGGTCTCCAGAGCCGTGTCATCGGGTGATAATCGGGAGGCAGGGAAGTCGAGCTTCACGAAGAGCACAGACGCGATGGTGATGATCTATGCCGACCAGGTAGCTGATTCGCCGTCTAGGCTTTACAGTGCACTCACTGTGGAAGTCTGAAGTAAGGTGATTGAATAGTTCATAATACACCGTAACATCGCCTCAACCTGCAAGTCTCAGGCTCAAAGTCGAGGTGTGTGCCGTAGAAAACATGCTCGCGACCTAGATGCTCATGACATAGCATTCAGTGTGTGGATAGTTATCCTACGCATGGAGTCCTTAGCACTCGTACATCCGTTCGTGCTCATTCACTCACATAGAACAGGACCACATTGTCCTCGGAGATCGCCAGATCCCACTGGTATCCTTTGTAGCGTGTCATCAATGGAGGCAAGCGGAAATCTACCTTTGCACATTCCAGGAACTGCGCATGATTAATCCACAATCCCTTGTCACGGGTCGTGACGGCGTGCAGCTCCAGGCCGTCCTCCCGCGGCGCGCGACGAAACCGCCATGTGTTGAAATCATAAAGCTCCGCCATATTTCGCGCAAGCCCCTCGCGCGGCTCGGCTGGGTACACAGGGATGGGCCACTCGATGAAGCGATACGCGGAGATGGACTGCCTACAAAAGGCGCGGCCGAAGCTCTGGAAAGGTCCTGTCATAAATGTGCGCGCAGCGCCCCACTCTTCCCATCGCCACACTTTCTGCGAATCGGGGTGGCTGATGGTGTGCTTCTGGATCCTGGACAGAATCACCGTAGCCGGGATGATATGCGTCAGATTGAGATGGTGCTCGCCGTGGCCATCGTCGACATCTTCCTCAGGAGCGGGGAATCCTATTTTGCCATAGGACATTTCCACGACCACGCATTCGTCCGAGGGCAAAGAATGGAACAGACCTTCGTCTGCACGCTCTGACGAGGAGCTGAGCCACTGAATCTTCCAGGACAGGTAGCGATGTTCGTAGAACGGGTACTCGAACGCACAGCAGTATTCGTCCCCTCCCCATGAAACCGGGTGTGAATACACCCGCCTGGTATCTATCACGTTGGCGAAGATCCGCGGGGCACATCCCGTCGTTTGCGACGGAGCCAACAATAGGCAGTCTCCTACAAATGCACACGCGGTGAGTATACATATACCGTTAATCCACTGGAACAGTGTGTTGTGAACACACGGGAGCGCAGCATCCATCACAAGAACGTACCAAACACATCGTGCCGCTTTTCCACGACCAAGCAATCAGGTGCTTGCAGGGTCCACCGTCGCTCGCTCTAAACTCTACCCCTAAAATGTCTCCCGTGAGGAATAGCTTAAAGCGCCTTTCCATGTCGTAGACTAGACCGGGCGGGAAGACTAACTCGGTTTCAGCAGCTAGAGGATGTGGTACGCCCGTGGACAGACTCCAGAGGTATATCATGGGTGCTTGAGAAAGAGGAACAGCGCCCCCGGCCGCTCCCGACAACCCGGACAGTATGACGACGAGGTCTTGCGCGGGATCTACTGCATATTCTGCGATGGGGAAGCCTACGTTTTCGAAGCGCCACTCTTTCGCGGGTACCCCTCGTGCATGCCCCGGCAGTAAATTGAATGCCAGGGTAGAGTTTCCGATACACCGAGCAAGGACTTTCCCCGAGAGCTGCACCATATGGGCTTCGTGGCAGGGGAGCTCCTCCACGGTCTCGAAGGCGCGCCGCCTCCACGCGTCGGTGTGCTTTTGCAGACGTTCCAGCCGTTGCGCCGTAGTGACGTCGCTCGGTGCACCATCGACCATGCCAGCAATATCTAATTCCATTTTGTATTGCACGAGCAGAGACCCGTCAACCACTTCTTTCATGTGTCTATGGACCTAGCCAACGTACTATGTGTTCAGGGGATGTAAAATGAAGTGGAGAGCTTCTCTCACCCTACGACAGGTCAATAGCGACCTCAGATCCAATACATGGAGCACTCGCTCCACGATTTCAGTCGGCACCATATCGATCTGAACCCAACCCGGGCATTCGTTTCATTCTAGGCCAGTCCGCTCACATCGCAACTTTCCAGACTTACCATAGCCTCAGTCTTTGTGGACTTCCAAGACACCACCAATATGTGGTTCTGACCTGCGGACTGCAGGCTCGGACCTCAAGACCGGCAAAGGTTTCCTGTCGCCCGGTTTCCACCGGACATGGGCCGAAATTTTGGGCTTTATGTCTGCCTATTGATCCGACATAGGGCCTCAAAATGGGGCAATGATGTCCGCCCTAGGAATAAACATGTCTTTCAGTATGCCGGGGTCCTCACACAAGTCGCAAGGCCTAATCCGGCATTTATTCTGACCTCGTCTCACCCGGCGCTCTCGCATCTAGAACCCCTATAACTCGTCTGAAAAATCGAACAGAGTACTGCCTCGTCAATGCCCGAAGGCCCCCTTCTACCCTATGGTCAGGTATGTGCACGTCGCTGAGTTGCGAGGCATGGACGACTGCACTCCTCCCACTCATTTTTATTGCCGTTAACATTGTGCCTTCTGCGAAAGACATCTGAGCCAGCTAACAGATGTTTGTACTGTGTTCGCTGTCTCGACGCTCTTACAGATGCATTGAATCCTTGTTCCTGAAGAGTTAGTGAGGTGCGGCCTCGAGTCTGGGATTTTGCTTGACGTCATGTTTTCCTCGACTCGCTCATCAGAAACTTCAGCTGAGTGCCTTCTGCGACCTCAGGTTTTCCGAGTCGTCAAGGGTTATATCACGTTCAGACCACGCCTAAGTATGTGCGCGCTTCGTTTCTGCCCAATTAAAACAGTCACTGTCTCCGCATCATACCTCCGCCGACGACGATGTGATGCGTGGAGTTTCTGAGCTTACATGGGGTGGCATTTGTCAACGCACGACATCCTCGCCGCTTGCCGCTCGTCTGTGTTCTTTTCATCGCCTTTGGTTCGAGGTGTGCTGCTCATTGTCGTGTATATGAAGTCAGGCTTGGGAGCTGATGTCACCAGATGCTAGTAACTTGCATTTCCAATCGCCACGAGCATGCCTGGCAATTACTGACTATCCGCCTATAGTGACTGACTACACATGCCTACGGGATTGGATACCAGGGGTTTCAAGCTTTACTTCGCAGACAGTTGTGTGGCGTGTTTGATGGCCATTCATTGAGTCGATACCTTTGGGGCACAGTCAGCATCCAAGCTACAGAATGTCATTCAGGTATGGATGAGATGCGCGCGAATCGTCCTCTTCTCGAAGCATTCGAATGCAGATTCTGTATAGCCATGTACAAGGACGTCAATGATTGACTTATAAATTTCCTGCTCGGCGACGTACCACACCATGTCACTCGTTCTATTATTGCGCCTCTGGATCTATCATGTTGTCGCCACACGTCGTAATCCAGCCAGGTATCATTGAACGAATGATATAGACGCACGGTAATGTCGCGCACGCCAATCTTGCGGGCTCGAGAGATGAAGTCGTCGGCATTGTGCTCTCTTATGACGTGCAACTCCAGAGTCACTGCGTGGAGCGATGAGCAGCCCGGTTCTCGCTGGCACTCCTTGATGTTTCGCAGGGCCCGCAGGAAGCTCCGAGTATCCTGGACACCCGAGCACAGCCAGAGGTGCCTGAGTTGCGGGAATAGCACAAGTGTCCTGGTAGCAAGGGCGGAAGGTATTCCATGATCCTCTTCTTTATATCCTCCGAAGCGCAGGAAAAGGACAGGCAGCGTTCCGGATGCACATACCATCGGCTTGGCCTCCAGTGCCTCGACAAATGCTGTCAAACAAGGTACGTCGAGGTGAAGAACGTATAGGGTCGACAATGCAGGAGCGGCAAAGGTGTCAAACAGCTCGTGAATGAAAAGCACTTCCTCCTCCTGCTCGTAATCGATGAAGCGAAGCATGAGTGACCGTAAGGCAGGAAGAGGTAAAGGGTCCGGGAAGCGCAGGCGGAAGCTGGAGTCGCTGTTGAAACACTTGCCGTCGAGACCAAGGTGAACTAGACTCGGACACTGCACGAGCATATCCCGGAATTCCCAAATGCTAGGCAGATCTCGCACAGAGGGCCGAACTAGCTCGAGACTTGTTAAGCCACTGAAGAGACTCAGGTTCGTCCTGATTGCAAATCCACAAATCTGTAATTCTGACAGAGAACACGCCACCGGCGGGCACAATCCTCGACCCACTATCAAAGTAGGGTCACCGTACCACCAGGCACAGAAGTGGCGGAGACGCGGTGCGTGGGCTTTGCTGAGCATGTCTTGAATACCGTCGGTGTACAGCGACCATCCTACCAACTTCGAATCATCGTAGAAGTCTAGGTCGGTCGTTCCGCCAAGGTGGAATGACACCCAGCGGTTGGCGCAAAATACGAGCTCGGTCAACAGCATGTTCACTTTCCGCGGAGTATCCTCCCTCTTGATGCGGCGGTTCCCAAAGATGAAGTATACATCCAAAGGACATGGATCCGACCTTTGTAATTGCAGTCGCAGGAGGTCGCTGGAAGTACCCAGGGATACTCGAACCTGTCTCCATAATGTCGGTGTCCGCAAGAATATCTTTCTCCAACGGGTGCATACCCAGGAGAACACATACGCAAGCCCCGGCTTAGGCTCCGGGCAATGTAAATTCTCTGCCCACATCCATATGTTGATCCATATTTCCTCGGGAACAACTTGCGCCGGAGACGTCTGTGCCAGCAGGGGCCGGCGGCTCTCTATAAGCTCATCCAACGCCCTCTCTGCCTCCCGCATGCGCTCCTCCGCAGGCGGCATCACCTCCGATCGTGTACGTATCCGCTCGTCCAAGGCCCGTAGGGCGATGTCGATCCCTTCGAAAAACGCAGCCGGAAGACTCTCGATATAGGATTGCGTGGTAGGTCTGCTGGCTTCAGCCCTCTCCCGGGTCCGTTGCAAGAGGCGAAGGTCCTGTTGGATATCCGCAACCTCTTCCCTCTTAAGAGTGGCGGTAGACTCTGCTTCGACGATGCGGGCGTTGACTTCATGCAAAGCGCGTACTGTGTCGGGATCCTTGAAACGATCCATCTGCCTACGCCTACTACAGTACGCGTTAAACGTCAGCCATCGCGCCAGTAGACTTAAGACAGGGAAGCGAACCCTGCGCAAGCACGTCTACCGAGGGTCGTTCAGTGTGGTTTTGGGGGTTACACTGAACTATATTCGCCGTAAGTACTATGGCCAGCGAGTGCACTGTGAAAGTTGGCCCTGTGTTGACGCTGCGGGCTATGCGTGCGATGTACTCGCAAACGACCACGTTGCAAGCACATACAGGAAACACGAGGCGCTCAGAAGGTTTCGACGTCTTCTATGATACTACCGTTCTTCCCTAGTAGTACCCAAGGCTAGGAGTAATCGAGAAATCCCTCGTGGAATATTCACCTGGCAGGGCAAGATAATATACCGACAGGCGACGGGTAGTTGCCCTTCAGTGAGACATGAGCACCCTAGCATGATGCCTTGAACAGTATATCACGTCATAGCCAATGCTTGTCATCTAAAGCCATTCGACTAGCAAAACAACTTGCATGCAGGTACACTTAGGGTATAGGTTGTGGATGATCAGGCGAAGGCAGTACTAGTAATAATATTTTGGAGCGTCCAGGCCGCGGTATGGTTCGTTCTCATGTGCAGCATGATGTGCTTGCCCCAGAAGGACTCGACTTCCGCCAACTTGACCCTACATAGAGAAGATTAATGTACACTTCGTTTTAATTGCAATACATTAGGCATACGGGTGATGGATAGGTTATGAGTGGGGAGATGCGATACACATGGAAGACGGTCTCAAGCCTATAGTTGCTACCGCTGGAAGAACGACTTGCCCCTGACGACACAGCCCGCGCCCCAGTCGTTCGTCCAATTCCCGGGCCAATCTTGCTTACGGAGCGACTTTGCAGTTTGCGGGTGGTAATAACTGGTGCCAGTGAATGTAGTCAGCAGAAAGAGAACGGACTCGAGACAGAAGTACCATCCGTCGCTGTAACTCATTGTAACCAACGGTGTTTCGAACCGCACAAGCTCGTCACCCAAGACGCGGACCTCATACTCCTCGCTGGAGATAGCGTCGAAGGCCAGAAGGTATACTGCTTCCTGCAATACCTCAATATCGAGGAGGCAGATCTGACAACACGCCATCTAAGCCATATTAGCCGGCGTGAGACGGAGAAGACCAGCTCATATCAATTGCATCCAGAGAAATACAGACAGCACGCGTGTGTGAAGAGTGTGCCGACGGTCACTAGTAACACAATATTCATACCCAAGACAACACATAAAACTCACATTATGTAGTTCCGGAGCAGGGCGAGGCTGCCAATGTTCCTTTCCTTCTGAGCTGGGTCCTTGAAGCAGGTCAGGCAGGGATTGAATGAAGTGAACTGAGAAAATAGCACAGACCTTGCAGTTCACGATGTCAATCCACAGTTTCTCTGCCGATGTGGGATCCAAGCAACGATCCCCCACCATTGGACAGGGACGATGCATCACGTCCTTGAACAGCCGGTTGAACACAGCTCGAGGCCTGCGCCCCAGCCACGTCTCGGCAGCGTAGCCAAGGAACATCTCGAGCGGCGCCGATATCCGCGAGATGAATATTCCAAACGTTTTCCCCGGTCCCACCTGGTGCGCCTCGTCGATCGACTCGTCGTCCGAGCTATCGCAGTACTCATATGTGATGCCGTCGATGTCGATTGTGTCCCCGGGCCGTCGGAGGCGGTTCGCGACCGCGCCGCGCAGCTCGAGGTCGCCTGGGGCCATGTTGTAGGATGAGTGAACCATGGTGGGGGGAGAGACGAACTCACTTGGGAAGGGCCGACAGAGGGTCTATATACCCGGTACTGCTCCGGTGTGTACAGCTATCACTCTGATGGGTCCGCACAACCATTCGACATGTGTCCACAGAAGTATGGGAAGACAAGGCCTATGTACACGAGGCGACGTACGAACCCTACCAGCTGGTCACGAAAGCTTGATGCACTAGTATTCATGAAAAGAGGAAGAAGTAACGGCTCTCGGTATTTACGGACCTTGGACGACGACCCGTCAGGATTTTTTGCCCTGCGCTCTAAGATAACAATGCTAACAATGAGTTCAGGACGGCAACAGTCGGCCGGTGCTCGCCAGTGGGCGCTCCTGGGAGACTGATGGGACCCTGGCACAAGGTCACTGGTTCGCGACTACTGAGCAAATGAGAAGATGGGTGGCGCCGGAGGATCGATCCAGACAGGCAACTATACGGTAGTATACGTGCTGTCTATGCTTAACTGCATTCTCCTCTCAGGCTGCGCCGTCCGTCCCCGGGCCCCGAAAGGTATCTCACCTCATCAGACTTCACCAATATACCCACGTCGCAAGACTTCTCATATCCTTATTAGCAGGACTGAAGAAACATCATTCTTGCATGAACTGCTCTTTACGAGCTTCGTATAGATACATACATCCAAGATCATGTAATACACATCAAGACGTCACTCTCATAAACCGTTTGATACACGACCCCTTATAGCCAAGATGCAACAAATATACCCTCTACTCAGACGCCGCAAACCCCGTTCAACACGTCTGCAATCCCGTTATCCGGGTTCAGAATACCGAAGTGCGTCCCGGGCAGCTCGTGCACGTCGACGTGCGCCGCCCACTTGTCCAGCCCCAGAGCGCGGCTCGCTCCCTTGAACTGTGGCTTCGTCGCGACGCCGCCCTGCGCGCGGATCAGCACCGTCCGCTCGCTCGGCCACGGCTTCTTCATCTCCTCGGCCAGGTCCTTGGATGCGCGGATGCTCATGATGACTGCCAAATGATAGGTCAACTCGATGCCAAAGATGTGCACCAGCCTGGTTTGTGTACTCACAGTGCGCCGCATACGCCCGACAGAACCGCGCGACCCACTTCGCGCCTGCCTCGCCCCGCTCCTTCTTCTTGAAGTGCTCCTCAAACTGCCCGATGACCTCCTCAGTGTCGTCCAAGCTCCCGCTCGTAGACATGTCAGTGACGACACCCATGATCTCCTCCTTCAGCTTGTTGTCGAGCAGGTTCTTGCTCGACCATGCACGGAACTCCTCGCGGATGAAGAGTGTCGGCGCAGAGTCGATCATGATGAGCGGTGCGACCACCTCTCCCGCGTCGCGGAGCTCCATGGCGACGTAGAGTACCACGTAAGTGCCTGCCACCGGCGCCTTAGTTATGCACGCTCCTCCTAATTCAAGTGGACTCACCGAACGAGAACCCAGCGAGATGGTAAGGCCCATGCGGCTGCTTCTCCCGAATCTTAGCCGTATAGAATTGCGCGAGCGTGTATATCGTGCCATTGATCGGCGCCTCGGGCGTATCCTGCACGCCATAGACTGGACACTTCACCTTCTGCGCAAACTTCCGCATGACAGAGATACCGCCACCCGCGCCGTGCAGGACGAACAAGGGAGTACCGTCTGCCACACCGTTCAGCTTGACGACCGTCTGGCTGACATCGTCACCCAGCGCAGCGCCGCCGTCGCCGTTCACCTGCCCGTTGACGGCAGCCGCAGGCGAAGCGACAGCGTTCTGCTCTTCCTGCATCTCCTCGAGCTTCTTCACTGCATGGCAGCGTCAGGGCGCCGTACAATCCAACTGGGACAGCCAGGCTCACCGGTCATGTGGCTGCTCAGCAGCTGCATCTGCGTCACCGCGATCCCGAATTTCTGCTGCAGGAGCCCGCTGAGGCGCACAGAGGTGAGCGAGTCGAGCCCGTAGCTCGCGAGCGGCACGATGTCCTCGAGCTCGTCGACCTCCATCGAGAGCACCGACGCGCACGTCCCTCGAATCGAGCTCTCCTTCGCGCCGTCTGCCGCCCGGTTCTCGCTCGACTCCTTCACCAGCAGGTGGCGCACGAACGGCCTATTGTCTGGCGGAACGACTGTATAGATATCATGTGTCAGCATATAGGAGTAAATGATGAGCTGAGAAGTTGCATACCATCCATGACACCGCGCCAGACGAGGGGCGGGATGTAAAGCGGGTTATAAGCGGGCGTATTGAGCGTCCAGATGGCGTCGACACAGTGCTCGGCAACGCGGAGCGTGCTGTACCCGAGGTCACGGAACTTGTCGAGGGCGGCGTTGCGAGACTGGTTCTTGGCGATACTGTTGACGTAGACACCACCGTCCGTCTAGAAGAACAATGTCAGCGATGGGTGAGTTGTCAAGGTATGTACAAACTCACCAAGGCAGGAACGCTGATAGTCACGGTGTTGGGCAGCTTGGCTGCGAGCTGCTCCATTTGGACGTTGGCGGAGGTGTAGTTAGCTTGACCTAGAAGGACGACGAGTCAGTTACGTATGCTTCTGGCTCCCTCGTGTGAGGCGCTGTCATACCCTCGGAGCCAAGCAGAATGGCGGCAGTAGAGGCGATCACCAGGAAGTCGAGCTCGGCAGGGTTCTTGGCTTGCACCAGGTTTGTGAGACCCTTGACCTTCACGTCGGTCACTACAATAGTGTTTAGAAAGCGAACAGCATTGACGCAGATATAGATGTACCTGGCTTCCAGTACTTCTCAGAGGTCATGTTTGCGAATAAGGTGTCCTCCAAGACAACAGGCAAGAAGAACACGCCCGCCACGCGTCGCTCCCCGCTGAACAAGGCCTTCGCCTGCTCCAGGTCCATGATGTCGTTCGCCACAATGTCAATCGTGACTCCGGGGACAGAGCGCAGCGACTGCAGGATCTTCTTCTGGTAAACAAGCTTGCCAGGTTTGAGGCTCTATTCAAGAAAAGCGTCACGGCGTCAGAAAGGAACGGGCGCGGGAGCGGTTGTCATGACCGTACCTTGTCTCCGGACCTCGACGTCAGCACAACATGACGCGCACCGTGTTCTACAAGACAGCGGGCAATACCAGTTCCCAGACCGCCCACACCCCCTACGACGATGTACGTCGCACGGGGATCGAAGGCGTTGGTGCCCTTCAGCACTCCGGCTCTCGTGACGGACAGGGAGTCGGTCTCGGACTTCACATCAAGGAGCACTGCCGTATCTTCCGCAGCGGTGGCGTGTGTAGCATCTCCAAGCTGAGGGAGTGTGAAGACCGCGACCTTCGGGGACAACGCCTCCAGAGCCTCCTTCGATAGGGAAGACAGTCCTTCGGGGATTAGCCTCGACGCGTTGATGACGCTAGTCGAGTCGACGGCGATATATCGCTGGCTGTTCTTGAGACCCACTGGGAAGCGACCGGTCGCATCGACTAGAGTGCCAGTCTTCGAGAGAAGCTCTCTTGTCTCCGCGACGATGTTTCGGTCGTTGTCAAAATTGAAAGCGATTTCGATACCGTGAGGTGCCCAGGCCTGCGAAGCCGTGACCCAGACATCGTATTCGGTGGAACGGACGGCCGGAGTGGAGATACCAGCCAACACCAGAGTCGAGGGGTCCGAAGCAGTGACGAAGACTTTCGCTTTCAGGCTTTGCAAGTACTTGACCACCGCAAGAGCTGCGGGACCACCAGAGCCGACGTGGACGAGGACATGACTGTCACCGGCAGTGATGGACGACACAAGCGGTTGCACAATTGAGGAAATGAACGCTGCGCGCGGTCCAACTGCAAGCGAGCTCGTCGCTTCGCCCTCAACTGGACTGACTTGCCCGCGCGGGCAGACAATGACGGTGCTCGGAGGCTTGTACGCAATGCCAACCACACTGCATTCAAAACTGAGAGCGATTCACATATATGTGGAATCACAACGACTTACCGCTTTCCCACCAGCGCGCCGTCGGAAGTGTCGGAGCCTACCGCCGTCACCACTCCCGTGAACTCCGTGACATCCGAGAAGAGCGGACGAACGTTGACATAGTCAACCGCGACTTCGACATCGTGAGCCCCAACAGGTTGAGGGTATGCACGCCAAACCGTTTTCCCATCGAAAGCCAAGGGTTTCGACTGCGCGGGTTCCGTTTGCGGAGGACTGGGAGCTTTGATGACTCGGGGAACCTTCAAATTCCCATCCGCATCAACTTGGACCTCAGAGTCGAGGTACGGAAGCATGACAAGCTTCTCTTGTATGAAGCGCTCGCGTTGTTCTGTGCTCCAGGAGGGATCAAAGATGACGAGCATGATCTTCCAGAGACCAAATTCTTGCCGAATAGAACGCGCTATACCGAGCAACTTGATGTTGTCGGTATCTGCGTATAGCCATAGCGTGTGGGGTTTCTGCGAGTCCAGGGTGGAAACGAAGTTCACGAGGTCGATCTCTTCACCCGCCTTGTAACCACGGAGTGTGTACGCATTAGGAGTGGGCGGAACATATGCGCCAGTGTACACGGTCTTAGGACCTTGGGAGACGAAGGCCATGTGTATGATCTGGCTGCCGGGTGAGGACAGGAAGAGGTTGTCACCGAAACCCGCGTCGGTCAATGCAACCTTCCACTGCTCGGGCGTCAGACTGCAGTGTGACCCGTTTTCCCGGTGTTGCAACACTCCGAACCACTCGGCAAAGGAGCCGAACACGTAGTCCATGTCTGGTAGAACATATTAGTATTCAAAATTATACTTCTACGAAGAAATCTTACAGATTGTCCCGGGAGCCTCCTGTGCGAAGCGTCGACCATCGAGCTCGATGATTGCGATATGCCCACCAGGAACCAGCAGCTCCTTGAGGGCGGCGAGAGTGCTACCGATGTCGGGAATGGCGTGCAGGACGTCGAAAGCTGTGACGATGTCAAACGTGTTCGCATCGAAGCCCTGCTGAGCAAGCGGCACACTCAGGTCGAGGGCCTTGGGAGTCATGGTAGGCCACGGGGACTTAACGGTCGACTCCTGAGCTAATGAGATCGAGATGTCAGTACTGACATAATCGACATAACACAGATCTTGAATGCGAGCGTCGATTAGCGCTTGGCCGAGCAGTGCCGTCAAGCGTCCAGTGCCGGCGCCAACTTCGAGAACCCGAACGACCTTCTTCCCAGCAGCAACGGCGTTCTTCACGAGCTCGACAAACTTGGTTGCGACCTCACCGAACACGTCTCCGACGAAGGGCGGCAACTCGTAGATCTTGCTCATTATGTTGTCGCGGAACATAACTTCAACGGCAGCGGTGGAAGTCCGGAGGATGTCTGCATGGCGTCAGGTTAAAGGACGTTTCACAGGACGAAGTATGTCTTACCCTTCTGCACAGGCGCGATACGATCCACCAGCTCGAAGAGATCAGCATATCGCTCTTCAATGGCTTCGTCGGATCCGACAGGAGGAACTGTCGGGAACCGCCCAGCCTGAATTTTGGCCCAAGCTAGATACCGTTGGCGGTCATACGCATCCGGCGAGAAGTTACCCGGGACGTCCCTGAGAACAATATCAGCAACAAGCGCAAAATATTGATTGGATGTATCACTTTAATGTCTGCGCTGTCGACTTCATGGCACGATAGTCCAGCATTTTTAGCAGCTGGATGGCTTCACTCGCGTCAACGCGGGTGTCGAGCGTGTCGTTCACGCCTTCAAACCGGCTGGGTGGGAGTGCGGTTGGTTGCCAGTAGTTCATATACCGTTCCGTAGGCCATACGGTATCCTTATTGAGGAAGTTTAGTTGGAGGCCTGCGTGACAATGTTGAGTAAGGGTCAAGGTCGGTTGAAACTCTGGAAACTTGCCTTCGAATGTATATACGACCTCGTCGTTCTCGCCTAGGACATAGATATCCAAAGTGAAGTGGTCGGTTGTCCACTCAGCCAGTTTAGTATAAGTTTTGAATTCGGCAGGAAGCACGAGTGGGCCAGTGCTGCCGTCGTTACGGTAACCGCGTCTCAGAGTATAAGGAAGCTGAAAACATATCAGGGAGGTATCTAGGGACCAGGGATAGCACAGCAAACTTACGTAGAGGACTCGTCCATCTCTGCCCGTAGGAATCTTGTCGTAAAGCTAAGGAAGTCTTAAGCATACATCGCGTGCAATGAAAAGGCGCTCTACACACCAGGTTGAACACGTTGCCAGACTGGAAGGCAGCATCCATGATAGCGGGATGGAACGCATAGTCCTTGGCGTTGACACCCTCGACATGACCACGGATCCAACACACCACTTCGTCCTCATTCAACGCGGCGCGCTCCACGCGAGAGAACCTAAAGCCGATTGCTTTAAGTTTGTGCAGCTCATAAGCGGGAGAAGTAGACATACTCCGGGCCGAACTGAAGAATATCGTGCATTTCCGCGTAGATCTCTTCCTTCGTGTAGCGAGCGAAGCAACGGCTCAAGACGTCCTGAACGTCTATCTTGGTGACGGCGTTCGGACCAGTCACGGGTTTGCCGTATCCGAGCTTACCCGTAGCATGTAACGTATCAAAGACGGGACCGCTGCGCGTCCACTCCAAGTCGCCCTGCATGGACTCCAGGGAAGAGGACGATTTGATCGTGAAGCGGTTACCGTCCTTTGCCACCTCCAACGTGGCGGGCGATGCATTTTCATCGAGAATGCAGGGAGCGTCGAACCGACAGTCCCAGACTTGGGTTACACCGTCGAATTCCAGCGCCATCTCGATATAGGCAGAGGCTGGAACGAGATTAGTCTCGTCCACGATGTGGTCACCCATCCATTCTTCAGGGAGCTTAGGACTGACACGCAGTCGAGAAGAGTTGAGGAGCCTAGTCGGCGGCAGAAGGCAAGACAAGTAACTCGGCAGCCTTGGAGCAACAGGAGTATGTTTCCATTGGAAGGGATAGGCCGGGCCTGTGATGGTTTCACTTGGGCAACCGTTGAGCACCGAGAAATTGATCTGCGAATCACAACAGTCAGAAATAGTGAAAGTGCAAGAAATGTCGACGTGGCTTACCGAGTTGACACCGCTAACAAGGAGGCGTCCGACTGCCTGCAAAAATGCTTGCAATTCGTTCGTATTCTTAGCTCCGGATGCAATCTGGCGAGCGGACGGCGGACGGATACTGCACGCAAACGCCGATGAGGCTCCCATCTGCTCGATGTACTGGAGAAAGTGTTCGTCAATTAATTGAGATCAAATGGAGTACCGTACTCACGCTGGACAGCACTGGGTGTGGAGAGACTTCGAGGAAGACGGTATTTTCGCCGAAGCGCTCTATCAATTTTGGGATGGCAGTGGAGAAAAGTACTGCTTGGCGCAAATTCTTCCACAGGTAGTCGATGGTATACTCTCCGTCTACGAACTCGCCAGTGACCGTGGACATGGTGGGAACCTTAGGGACAAACGGACCCTTGTGCTTCGAGAAGATACTCTTGAGCTCCGCACGGTAGCTCTTCTCGCAGATATCAACAAAGGGAGAATGCACCGCGGTACTGACACGGAGTTTGCGCGCCGTAGCCCCATCGGCCCACGTATTGATGTAGTTCGCAAGCATGTCTACGAGGGCGTCTGACCCGGATACACCGATGTCGGTAGGGCTATTGAAGGTGGCTAGGTAGAGGTGTTTGGCATCCTTGCCTTGGTCCTGAGCAAGAGCCGAGACCGCCTCGACGTAGTCTTGAAGAGAGTTGTTGTCTGTGCCAGAGATCGCAACCATGGCGCCACCAATGTTGTCGACCAGTAACAACGCCTTGCCACGGGCAATGGCAACCTTGACGACCACCTGCGCATATCGTAAGCTCACTGAGATCCGCACTTGCAATACTCCTACTCACCGACTTCGGCATCGCACCAGATGCATAAAGGACCGCGGTTTCTCCGATGGAGTGGCCGACGACCGCTTTTGGCAGTATGTTCAGTGAAGTAAGAAGGTCGGTCATAGCGACTTGGAAGAAGGTGATCGCGACGGAGATGGTAAGTGCGGGCCACACTAGGCTCTTCTCCAGCTCAGAAGACTTGCCGTTGATGAAGAGACCGGTATCTTCCAAGAAGGACCGCCCGGTGTACTCCTGGTGGACGTCATCGCAAGCCAGGATCGACTCCCGGAAGACTGAGTAGGTCTGGAAGAGAAGGCGTCCTTGGTTCCAGTGCTGGGGCCCCTGTCCGGAGAACGTGAAAACGACCGGACTGGGAAGCTTGTCGACCATTACGGCCTCCGGGAAGGACGCAGCCGCGAGCGAATCCGCCACTGCAAACGTACGCCAGGGCATCTGCCGAGTCCTCTTCCCCAAATGTTCTGCCAGAGCCAGTGGGTCGACATTCTGATACTGCTCCTTGTAAGTCGAAACTAGGGTTTGCAAGGCCCGAGGCGAGAGTGCGCCTGTACATGTTCCAGGTAAGTTATCGAACTCGGACAGCCACCATAGATAACACACATACCCATGGTGAATAAAAACGGCCCTTTGCGTAGAGCCTCCAAATCAGGCAGCGGCTTCCTTTCCTCGTGCTCACGTATCACGGTGTGACCTCCAGCACCTGGGAACCGTTGGTCGTTGAATAATGACCGAAACCTTACAAGATGATTATCTTACCTCCGTATCCGAAGTTGGAGATTGATACAATGCGACCTAGTTCTTTATCGTGGGCCTTGAACTCCTCGGGAGCTGTGGGAACGCGCAGTTTGTATTCGTCGAAGTGAATCTTCTTCGAAGGAGTCTTGAAGTACCCATTTGGGAGGATTTGCTTTGCCTGCAACATCATAATGACCTAAGACGAGAAGCATTAGCCTATTAATAGTCCAGATACAGGTTATCTTATCATGTACCTTTACCAGAGCCGTCAAGTAGGACCTGTAGTCAATTTAGTCTGTGGGTAGTACGGCCGCGACATGATGCCGACTTACCCCGTCTCGGTGTGTCCGACGTTGCTTTTGACAGAGCCGATAATAAGCTCCCGTCCATTCCTCCCCTCCGAGAACGTGGCACCGGCGGCGTTTGTTTCCAACATGTCACCAACAGGTGTGCCAGTCCCATGCAACTCGAGGAAGTCAACTTGGTGCGGCTGGAGGCCAGCGTCGTCATACGCGGCGCGAATGGCCATGATGTGAGCCTCCGGGTTCGGGGTCGTCAAGGAGCCCATGATATTACCGCAGGTCGTGAGCGACGTGCCTACGAGGGAGGCTAGTATCTTGTCGTGGTCTCTGACGGCGAGGTCGTGGCGCTTGATAACCACCGCATTAACTAGTTAGCGGGATGAAACACTCAGGATCAGCGGGGTGCAATTAGTTCAACATATACATGGTGATACTGACCGACGTCAGCACGAGCGCACCCATCGGCGTCATCGCTGAACGACTTGCAGTGGCCGTCTTCGCTAAGAAGACCTAGCTGGCTGAGCGCCACAGTGTCGAGCGGGTTGCTGACAAAGTTGACACCAGCAATAACCGCTTGCTCGCACTCGCCGTTGCGGATGGCCTGGATGGCGAGGTGTATGGCGACTAGCGACGACGAGCAAGCGGTGTCTACCGGCACCGACGGTCCCATGAGGTCGAAGACATAGTTAATCCTGTTGGCGGCGATTGACATTGCCATACCGGTGGAATAGTAGGCTGGGATAACGTAGGTGAGCTGCAAACAGGAATCATCCGTTAAGGGGCACTTACCACCGGCACGAGTGATATCCATCTCATACGGGACGCCGGACCCGCCTATGTTCGTCAGCACCGGTAAACATGATGCCGCTACCGACTTAAACTCACCGACGCCGATGTAAACACCAGTAGATGTGTGGCGATAGTCTACACCGCTTCGCTGAAGGGCATTGAAAGCTTGATGAAGGCTGGAATAATGACAGTGAGGAGCATGTCGTACAATTGTATGAGCGGAACATACAGAACGAGCTGCGGGGTGCCGACTTGTGCAGCCTCCGCAGGGGTAACTCCGAACTCCGAAAGGTCACCGTAAGATATTTCGGGAATAAACCCGCCCTTGGTCTGCAAGCGCTAATGAGACATGCCCCGAGTCGGGACGTGCTGAACGTACGGTAACGAGCTTCCCGGGTTGGGAGCCGTGGAAGGCTTCCGCATTCCAACGGTCCTTGGGAACGACGATCATAGGATCGCCTCTAGTAGCCAGAAATTCTTGAAAGGCATCTACGTCTAAGCCTCGAGGAGACTCTTCGCCCCCCGGAGCGCATATCGACATTCCTAGACACGCGTTAGCAACTGGCCTGATCAGTTACAGCAGTGTGCAACTTCCGTACCAACGACAGCCAGTGCCCGGACATCCGGGTTGGAGTAGCTTGGTGCAACCTGAGAGACCATGTTGAACGGTTGAAGACAGGGAAAATATTGAGACTCGGGAGCCTCAACTTGGGGGAGCAATGAGGCTCATCCAAACTACTTATACTCTTTGGACTGTGACCTGCAGAGCGCTATTCGCTGTAGTATGCTCAGACTTCCTTGAATAGATCAAAGAGGCGTAATTGAATATAGCGGAAGCATTCCTTGAACAAGGCGATCTGTCCCTGCGAGACATCCCTTGGGCGCCGGAGCTGGAGAATTCGAGCCCCAATGGTCATACCCATCTGTGTCCATCGGGGAAGTCACGCAAGTTCAGACTTCGCATTTCAACATGCCGCGATATCGTGGTCGACGCATCGCGGATGTTCTGATTGTCGGCGCAGCGCAAGCCGCGCGATAAGCGTGCTCTCTCCAGTCTAGGAACGAGGGCCGACATAGTTCCGCAGGAAAGTGAGTCAAATATGTCAATGGTACAAATGCGAGACGGACAGGCACCGAAGAAGCAGCCAGTGGACATACTAAGGCTTCAATAGAGTGAAGTGTTGCTTCTGGCATGCGAACCACCTTGATATCCAACGTCGGAGTTTGCGCTAATCCTTGCGTTCTCTCCAGCACCACATTCGAAATGCCAATTGCGCGGTGGATGCGGAAATTGTGGCATAACGCAGATCCCCCTTCCGTGGGCGGATATCCAGTAGTGGTGCGGTAGAGACCAATCAGCGGAGACTCGGCAGGAGGAATGCTGTAAACCTAACCAGAGGTAATAATGCAAAGTCACGTGGATATGACCGTGTCCGGCAATACCGATATGCACAACTTCACGTCTTTGTTATCCAGACCGCCAGTCGCTCAAGTATACTCCTGCCTTTACGAGTCTATTCCCATGATACGGAACGTTTGAGCAACAAGAGCTACAACGTGCATGCAACTGCATTGTATCTATGGCCCGCTTAGGAAAGAGGCGAGGCTCCGGGCTTCAGGCAGATTGATCATGACAGCGGGTGTCCTAATCGCGTCCATTCTCCATAGAGCCAGTAGTGATTCCATCATCATGTAACGTGCATGCCGCTGTTCTCGTAAGTACGGAACGTTTAATATGCCGAAACCGCATTGACACGATTCTCCTCACCATCTCAGAGGTGACCCCAGAGCCTGGTAGATACGAAGTATGATACGCACTACATATCCCTGCATTTATCCAATTATCCTCATCCAGTCCCGATGAAATATTTTCCTGGGACCATAAGGTCCCGGAGGTCTTCGCATCTATCAGATCACCGAAGTTGATCCAGGGCAATGTAAAGTTAATAGCACATTCGGCTCCCTGATCCAGTTGGTATATAGAATTTCATTTAGATCGGGGATGCAAAAAGCTATGCACCCCCAAGGATGGCGTGTGAATTACTTTAGAAGCCTAATCATCTTGACGGAATTCGTGTCCGAATGGGAACTCCTAAGGTGGCCAGTATCAACACGGTTTGCTACGGCGAGCGGCCTGATCAACGCCCGTGGGGAGCGGCACTTGGAGCTTAACGCTTCATCACTTCTCGTACGGGGCAAGGCAGTCGCCAAAATGGCTCTATTTGACATGAGATGGATACCGTACCATCAACATTTCCCTGACCGAGGGTGCAGTCAACCATAATCGTCATACGCAGTTGTGCTCTCACGCACCCTTTGCGATTGCAGCTCACGTAACGACATCATAGTTGATTGAGCAAGGCGTAAATACGATGAACGCAGGCGCCTCTTGGGTTCTCTCGTTATCCATCGTAACAACCTTCACACAATCAGACAACGTTTGATGGTGTGGTTCAATCGAACATAGTCTGGAGAGAAACAGGAGTCCAAGGCTCTGGCTGAACCAACCGGGGATGGACCATGAGCGACTTCCAAGACTGCGGAGCACGCTAACAAGAACTCAGTTGAGATTTCATTGCGACGGAGAAGATACCCCACGCCGTACCTGGGAATACAGATATGATGAGCGCGCAGGACATGTTCCACAAGAGAAAGACGAATCAAGGGATAGATAGGGGATCGGGTCGGTCCTCCATACTCTGGGGAAAGTACGAGGTAGATCCCGAGCAGCTTCAGCCCTGCAAACTGGTAGAAGGAACCACCTGCAGCGTTACTCCATTTACTCATATCACAATGTCAAACCGTGAGCACGCAATTGAATACGACAATCGAGACCTGAACACCGGTCTGGGCTCAATGCGCGATGAACGGGACACTAGAGGAGCAGAGCACCATTATCATCCCACATAAGCCGTACGTACCTATGATCCCCCCAGACGCCCCCGTTGAAAGGGGCTCGGATCGCTGGCTTGATATGACGTCCTCACCGTACTCCACCGCGTCGCTGAAGTCAGCATACGGTCGTAATCGCTGGAATGGCCTGCAACTGGCGACGATTGACCCGGTAGCTAACATGCCAGAAATCCGCACCCTGGCTTGCATCGACCTGCTGGAGGTGAAAGGCCAAAGCGCACCCCTCCTCGTTCTCTCGACCGACGTACGAACTCCCAAAGGTCAGCGGTCTCCGGTACCTTTGTCTACACGTATCAATAAATTGACATACCTACGTCACCAGTATCCCAAATACTCGCTAATCCGCGCGTACAAGTGCTCTGGTGGTTCGGCGACACCCACGAACAGTTCCGCATCTCCGGAGTGGCAAGCATCGTCGCCGCCCCGGGTACCCCGACCTACGACTCGCTGAAAGACAAGATCAATCTCCCAGGAGACGTCGACCTCGAGACGAAACGGGTGGAGGTCTTCAATGCGATGCCGAACTACATGTCCCACTACCTCCGTCCGACATGGGGCACGCCCCTGCGCAAGGCGCCTCACAGCGAAACGTGGCCCAAGGTAACGCTACCGACGGAGAACAGTTCCGACGAAGATAAACTGCACTACGAAGAAGCGCTCAAGAACTTCTCGCTGATCGTCATCGAGCCCGTGGTGGTGGACTATCGTTCACAGCAGGAGAGGGTTGTGTCGAAGAAGTTGGACAACGGTCTCTGGGAGAACGAACCCGTGGTCATGCCATGATCCAAGGCTCCGTCCCCGTGCAGAGCGATGTAAGCACAACGGTCGTAAAGCTGTAACGTTGTGTAGTATCTTGAATCGATCCGAGTTGTGCATCCCTTAAGAACATGAATTGATTGAACAGTCTAGATGTGCAGGCTCCGCCACAGTGAGAAGGCTGTAGGATAATGTCCGAAGCAGCACTGGACTCTCAGTCGAGCGTGCTTGGACATCTCCTCAGCATGAACGTTAAGCCAAATGAACGGGTCGTTACAGTCCAACCCAATTCTCCGCGATATGAGTCGATGTGCATCAAGTATAGCGGTACTCACTGTAGGTTCGCCTCACTCGCACAGCAACCCAGCTCGCTCTGGTGTTCCACATTTATCCTTGTTCTCCATCATCATCGAGGGATCTGTTCGCCCAAGTCATTCCCAAACTGATGGGCGAGAATGGGCGCGACTGATAGTACTGAATAGATGGGCCTGACTTACGTGTTGCAAAAGTTCATAAAGGGGAGTGCGACGCGGTCATATGCAGAGAAAAATGGAGGGGCCGCTAGGCCGGACACAGCTGCGTTGCTAATTCCAAGGAACTTGAAGTGCACCATGCATGGCCATCCACTGACAGTGACATCGATCCAGCGCGAGTCCGAGTTGCGGTTGTGGCGTTCAAGTGGACTGACAAATAGGGACAAATATGTCGCGACGAGTCTGCCCTCTTGACTCGAATACTTGGCTCACCCAGCCCATATTATACATGCCTTCTGCACGCACTAATTCTTGCTACCTTCCCGGTCGACGTGCGAGAGGCTTCCGTGCACTGTTAGACCCCCAAATAAATTCTTGAAATGCTAAACTACAGACATAAAGTCACGAAAATGTCCGAATCATCGATGCGGTCGCTTCTGTACGTGTTGAAGCACAGAGGATATGAAGAGGGTGCGGTGTTCCCTACATAATGACTTGGGAAATCCAGTAGCCTCTTACCCGAAACCCATGCGCCTTTCGATCACATTGGCCCATCCATATTGGCATCGCCAACGTCATGCTCGATCAAGGATTCGGTCGCCGACGACCTCGGTTCAAAGATACAGGTGAATTGCGGAGGACGACTATAGCACAACAGAAAGATGAGGGAGAGAATGATGAGCAACTGCTAGGCTAAACAGCGGGATGAAAATCACCTTATCATCTCGCTGGTGAATTCGACCTCGTCCACCGCGAACGGTCTGCCATCCTTGTTGAACGCTTCCACGATGTTAAAGGCCGTCAATAGCGATGCCGCAGTGATCCAAACGGTATCCCGAGCAACAACTACGCCACGCCATCAGGGTCACAATCCATCGAAATGACGGAAGGGTGCTCGTACTTCTTCCTGGGCACTTCCTTCTTCCGTATCCAAAAGCATTCTCAATATCTGGAGCATCCTTTCGCCGACTGAGGCCGTCATCGCTCATGAAGCGCTCGGGCCTGAAGTCCAGTGCATCTGCACCATAGACTGATTGATCGTGGAGCAGTGCCCATCCATTCGGGATGACTATGGCGCCCTTGGGTATGAAATAGCCCTGTCATCGGCAACACGATTAATACCGGGTCACATCATCGGGAATAGCGCATGCCTTATAAAAGTCATCTTCCGCGGCGCTGTGAAATAGGCCGAGAGGGGACATGGGATTCCAGCGAAGGACCTCATCGACGACAGCATCTAGGTACGGGATCGTGCCGTAGTCCGCGAAGTCAGGCAAACGTTCACCGTGACCAAGCGCTGCGTCGACGGCTTTCTGAGCCTTCCGTTGCACCTCCGGATGAAGGGCCATTGCGAGAATGAAAGACCCGATCATCGCAACCGTCTGTAACAGGTGACACCGCAAGCTAAAGCGATGAATGTGCGAATCGATTCAGAGGTACTTACAGTGTCCGCCCCAGCTGTCCCGGATGAGATATCATTGATGACAGTCCAGAAAACATCTCAACTTGTCTACGTACCAACATAAGCGGTACCGAGTATATTGCTGATGTCATCCTCGGCTTCTTTGCCTTCTTTCTCGTCAAAAGCAGAAGCTAGTAAGCGTGAAGCTACCGAAGACTTCGCTCTGCCTTGGGCCTAAAGGAAGTTCTCATGACTGTAATTGCGGAACAGAGAAGTGCTTCACCGACCATCTCCGATTTGACGAAGTCCATAGGAACACTCCGGATTTTCTCGCTCAAGAACCTGCCACGTTCTGCCGATCTTTTGAACGCAGCACCCGGAAACCATGATGGTATGGCCTTGAGAACGTGGAAGTAATCGACTACAAGGACGAGATCAAGACCTGGTTCGTCCAAAAATAACAGGGTGAAGTCTCACCGAGATATCCGCCTGTCGCGGCATGCGACAGCAGGTATGTGGTTTCCCCGACAATCTTAATGAACGGATCAGACTCAGATCGCGGAGAGATGCCATACGTGACCGAGAGAATCGTATCAGCTGCTGCGCTGTAGATTGACAGTCAACCAACAAGAATGTGAGAAAGGCATCTGACATACAGACGCAGATCCTTGTCCGGATCAATCCTCATTCCTTTGGACGTTAGTAAGCGCTTTAGAAGGCGTCTCGCTGAGACGAGCTCTTGTGATCTATTGACTTGATGTTCTTCCACTTCGTATTCTTGATGGAATACCTTTCGATATTCTAGCGACGAAGCCGTTAGCATTCTTCTCGAAGATAATACATACGTAGCTCACTCTTCCAAGTTTCTCCATAGTCCATGAATACGAACGTCCAGGCAAAATCCATCCTAGACAACGAGCTCAGTAAATAAGCCACAAAGAAAGCGAGTAGAGTTTACATGTCATGAAGGAAGTTTGAATGCGGTCTCGAAGTCGTGAAGGTCAGTATGCAGCGGAGAGAAAAATATTGTCGGCTCACCTGCCCGAATACATCGACGAGCGCTTGACGAGAAGTTCGTAGACCGAGGATGCAGAGTTGAGCACCACAAAGTGCGCTCCAGGGGCGGTAAAGTGGATAACATCTGAGTCTATCCCACCGATGAGTGCTGATCCGCTATGTTACTGGGCGATAAACCGGCTTGCCATAATCTCTGCTCCACTGGAGATACGTCCTCCAGGGCATTCGCTCCGGCAGCTGGAGAGCATTGCCAATCAGCGGCCAGCCAACGGGACCAGGCGGGTAGGGCTTTCGCCCGGCATAGAACCGAGCAGCAATGCCTGCTACGAGGATTAAGCACAGAGCCCACATGCTGTAGTTGTTGCTGAACAACTCCATCGTGGGCGATGATGTTTACGAAGGGAAATCAAAAACACGCTGCTGTCTGACCTCTGGGCTGCCTTTGAAAGTGAACGGGTCTCTGTATCCGTACGCTTCCATGACGCACGGACATATGGGGATCCGCATGTCACGAGAGAGCAGTCCGCACCCTCGATTCGAGCTCCATACTCTCAGCTTGCAAGGTGCGGATCGCTTGGACGGTTTGATAAGATTAACAGAACTTTGGAGGTGAACTGGGAGTCAGAGCGTGGCTCAGCGTGCGCTAGCAATTCCGGATCAATCCGGGGAACACCCATACTGTAGGTATCCCTACAAGAGGTTAGAAAACGAAATTCGAACAATACTGTAAGATACCGATACCAATGCTCACCTTCTCAGAGAATATCGGGCGTTGTTGCCCGACAGATCAAGATATATCGAGATGATAAACTGCATGATAGGCTCCGTGACGGGGCTAATGGGACCCCCCGCCGTTCCTGCGCTGAAAATCTCACGGGCCTTGACTGCAACCGTAAGTATGATGGCCGGACTTGCCATTGTATAGCGCTCGTCCTGATAATCTAATGCACGGATCTGCAGGGACACGCCTGCGTGTCTACCTGGATGTCGGTGCACTGTGCCATTTGCATTACCAAAGCGCCTGATTCATACCGACCCTCCGGCAAGTCTACCGTCTGGGAGGTGAGTGATGGAGAATTGGCCTTCCTGGTCTCGATTCGGTTAACCACAGTGGTAAATCCAGCCATGATGGTACATACCCATGCGGGTCTTGCGCAAGTGCGACCTTGTCTCTTTTTGAGGCACTGCCAGAGGACGGACACATCGGGGTCGTCATCGGCTGTCTTAATTCTAACTGGCAACGCAGTATAAGCTCACCGTCGCCTACGTCTACGCCCCTTCAAAGCAGAAGCCATGCGTTTTGCTCTGACGACGTTCATATTATCTTCAATCCTCGTCCCGTACTCCACAGCCGTTCTCCATGAGCATTTGTCTTCGCTGTCCTCTGCAGCGTACGATTACATTATTGTCGGCGGTAGGATGTGAATCCCCTCATGCTCCTACACCGCTAACAGCTATTCGTATTGTAGGAGGTACTGCGGGCGCCGTACTCGCAAACCGCCTAACCGAGGATGCGAGACTGTCTGTCCTCCTCATAGAAGCTGGGCCTTCGTTCGTAATCTACGCACATTGTTATGCCTTTAGCTGAAGTAAAGTCTCCAGACACCAGAATACCTTGGAGTTGGAGATTCCCTATGACGCACGGATTGCATCCCCTGGAACTATATGGGATTGGAACTATACTACTACCCCGCAAGTACATTCTCGTCTAGTGTGGAGTACGAACTCATACAGGTCTAGTCAACTGAATGTCAAAGGTCGACGAATTGCATATCCCAGAGGGCGAGTCTTGGGGGGCTCAAGCTCGATAAGTCAGCATGCTGAAGATACATTACTCATCAGTATTTATCCTGACCAAGGAATATAGACTACATGTTCTATACCAGGGGTTCAGCAGACGATTTTGATCGGCTTGCCAGGACCGTACAGGATGACCGGTGGTCTTGGAAGAGTCTCCTCCCATATTTCATCAAGGTAGGTTTTGACCGAATCGAACTTACTACTCGACGCTAATTCCAGCCCGATCCAAGGGAGAGGCCTGGCAACACGAGAAGCGGAGTAACGAGCTATCCCCCGGGTACTCCGCAGATCAGACTGTACTGACTGCATCTTCACAAGATGGACGCGGGACAGGGCCGAAACACAACCCCAGAGTACATGGCACCGACGGACCGTTAGCTGTTGGCTCTCCGGGTTACTCACAGCCAATTGATGAGAAAGTTCTACAAGTCACGAAGGAGTTGCCCGACGAGTTTCCGTTCATCCTGGATCACAATGCCGGTGCTCCTGTTGGCGTTAGTGAGTATCATCTCCTGCTACGTCCCATTGTCCCATTCCTAGTGCTTACTGTCTACGAACTTGGAGGCTGGGTGCAAAATACTATACGCAATGGTTCACGGGAGAGTTCGGCCACGGCGTATTTGGCTGACCGATACCTTCAAAGATCGAATTTGCATGTTCTCGTCAATACAGAAGTACGCCGGGTGCTGCGATCTATTCACAACGGCCCTATCGACACCGTGGAACTTGCTGTGGCTGGAACCAAAGGTGGGACCGTCACAGCCGTCCTTTGACGAGTCCTGCTGACTCGACCCTCAGATATCAGTGGTCACGTACTCGCTTCTCGCGAAGTCATCTTGGCAGCGGGCTCAATCGGTACACCGCATATCCTCCTCAACTCCGGGATTGGTGACGCTCGTGAGCTAGCGGCGCTCGGTATAGCTCCCGTACTCGACATCCCAAGTGTGGGAAAGAACATGTCAGACCACCCGTGGGTCCCCACCACTGCCTGGCACGTCGCTTCCGACGACACTGTGGACGTTATCAACTACAATGCCTCTGCTGCCGCCGAGGCCTTGCAGCAGTGGAAGACATCCAAGACAGGACGATTTGTAAATGGGGTATCCAACCAGGTCGCCTGGAATAGACTGAACACTTCGGATCCCGAGGTGAAGGCAATGTTGGGGACGTACGGTGATCCCGCTGCTGGACCGAACTCTCCGCATTTTGAGTTCATCATATACGTGAGTTGGAAGGCTCAGTTGAGTTTGTGTACTGACCCAGCTCTTAGAACTTCGGCCTGCAAGTACAGAATCGGTCGAGTAACTATTTTACGCTTGCACCGATTCTCCTCACGCCCAGCTCCCGTAAGGCGACCAAGTTACTCTATTCTCAAACGCCACTTATTCAATCCTAGGTGGGACGGTGACCCTGGATCCCGCGAATCCACTGGGTCCGCCGGTTATTGACACCGCTTACTACACGTCCCCGCTTGACCTATTCATTCAGCGTCAAGGAATCCGTTCAATCCTCCGGTTTGCGTCTGCTAAAGCATGGCAAGGGTATCTACTTGGCGCGGCCGACGACTTCGCGAAGGTAGCTAGCACTTTTGGCGAAGACTTGCAAGCCCTGGATGATTACATACTCGACCATACCGAGACGCTTTGCCACCCCGTCGGGACTGCCATGATGTCTCCCTACGGTGCGAGCTGGGGAGTAGTCGATCCTCACCTCCGCGTTAAGGGAATCAAGGGATTGAGAATCGTCGACGCCTCCGTCTTTGTGAGTCCTATCGTTACTGGGATACGACGCACTGGATTAAGCCATCTCCGTAGCCCTATGTTCTTGCTGCAGCGACTCAAGCCGCAGTGTTCGGACTAGCAGAGCGCGCGGCGGACATAATCAAGGACGCGAGTGTGAGAGGATTGTGACCGTTTCGGCTCTGGTGATGGCCGGTGTAAGCCCTACAGTATCTAGGCTACGTACTGTACTCAATCGAGTGGAACGATTCATGAGGGGACAATGATGACCAACCTATTCTGCGAACCCGTCCCTACCGAACTGAGTCAAGAGAAGGGAAGTGGTCAGTTTAGGCCGACAATGGCTACTGCGGCGCTCGGTCCTTCCTGGCTGGGGAATCCAATGGCCAAGCACACAAGCCCGATAGGTCGGTGAGCGCTAACCTCGCACTGAAGGATATCCCGCAAGGCATGTTCATTGAAGAAGGATGATGTGCTGACCAAACCGTTTGTTGAATCGCGACATGCAGCGGCCTCGGTAAGCACGGTCTTATAGCATGCAGTAATAGTAAGGATCGATCCTGTTGTCCGCTTTGCTGAGTACCGAAACATTGAAGCACTCCTAGAGTCCTAGTCGTCGGGAAACAGCGTGATTGGCGAATGCTGAATGGGTAACGTGGCTGTGTACCGGCGGGATATTCTCGCCGTCCTCCGCGGTCGGGCAGCGGGCTCTAGATCTGTATTCTCAGCTCTTCATTCGCCACACCACAGCACGCCACAGCACGCCGCAGCAGTATGCTGGAGGCTGCAGAGCTCAGCAAGAAATCTTGGCCGTGTTGTCAGGCAAACTGTCTGATTGGTAAGTCGGCATGCGTTCTGCTGACAGACCAATGGAGAGCGCGGCCGAATCGAACAATTCAGCGTCCATCCATAGAATAGGATCAGGTCGACGTCACGAAAGATACCTCCTCGGTGCCACTATGAACTGCAACATCGAGTTACTTAACGCCGATAACACGGCTATTCTGCCTCATTGGCTCCCAGGCTATTTCGGGATGTTCCAGGTGGCTCTGGCCGTTCATTGAACGCCATCTCCGAGAGTCGACTGAAAACCCTAATCAGCCCGGAAAACGTACCTCTTATGGATCCATTGGATTCAGGTTCGTTTTCACGATCCCCCCCTAAATGGTGAGGCGTCTCGCTTAAAAAGGGCCCGCATGAGCAGCTTTGTGCACTACCTTCAGCACCGAGCCGAGTCGTTATTGATTTTTTGAGTCATTTTCTAGAAAGTCCACCGTTATGCCGTCCTACGTTGTCACTGGTGCTGCGCGAGGCATAGGGGTTAGTTTGAGCCTTCTCAATTGTACGAGGACAAAGCAGCTAACCTTTCCCCGCGCGGAAGTTCGGATTTCTTAAGAAACTAAGCGAGGATCCAAACAACACCGTGTTTGGTTTGGTTCGCAAGCTTTCTACCTCTACCGATGCCAAGGAGCTGGCATCTAAACGCCCGAATGTGCATATTCTTCAAGCTGATATTGTTGATGACAAGGCGCTAGCGGTAAGGCATCGGCGGTCAAGCTGCAAAGCTGTACTAATTCAAATTTGTCAATCTGCTTTCGTCTAGGCCGCAGCAGAAGAAGTTGCAAAGGTCACGGGTGGATCTCTGGACGTCTTGATCAACAATGCAGGTGTGCAGGACCTCGGTTACCTCAATGCTGATATCGATGGCTTGTGAGTTCGTGCCAATGATATCTGTATTCCCAGCCTTACGGGGTGACCGTCAACTCAGCCCCAATTTTGAGACTTTGAAGAAGGACCTTTTCGCCACTGTATGACATCCCCTTTCGTCGTGTTATGATCTTAACTGACATTTGGAAATAGCTCGAGGTCAACGTCTATGGCGTGATGATTACTATCCTTACGTTCATCCCTCTTCTCAAGAAGAGCTCTATCAAGAAGGTGGTGACTTTGTCGTCGGCTATGTGCGACCTGGATTTCATCAACGGCACCGGCATGACCACATCTGTGTCCTACTCCATTTCCAAGGGAGCGGTGAACGTGGCGATGGCGAAATTCGCCGCCAAGTTCAAGGACGACGGCATCATTTTCCTCTCGATCTGCCCAGGCTTGACGAGCACGGGTGCGACGAGTGCGGAGAGCTGTATGTTTCATTCCGCTTGTGATAAGGCTTGACCCGTATGCTCAACCGTGCCCTGCAGTGACTCCGGAGGAGTGGGCCGTCATCAAGAAGCAAATTGCTTGCGCTCAGAAGCTCTACCCGCACTTCCAGCAGCCCCATTCCGTCGAGTACTCAATCGACAAGCAGCTGGAGGTTATCAACTCCTGGACCCTCGACAAGTCCGGAGGATATGTCTCTCACAAAGGTAACAAGGAGTGGCTGTAGATGCTTGTTAGCCACGTATCCTGTGGACGTGTCGTGTAGAGGTGCATCCATAATGTAATACTATCCTGAGTAACCTGGCGGTGCAGCGCGAGATTGCTCATTGTCTTTGCATTAATCTGGCAGGCATGGTTTTGCCGGAAAATGCTTGATACAGTGCTTGGTGTGATTGCAACACCGAGAGTGAATAGGTGATTCAACTCCTGCTTGGTATAGTTCGGATCAGACGCACTTGAGGTGGCTGAAGGTTGCGTATGGGGCAAATATTCGAAGCACCATATTGATCCTATCTGTGCATTGCGGTGGAAGCTGGGCTTGGCACCGAATTGCGGGCCCGGCGGCGTAAGATCATTTCCATAAGGAAGAAGGAGAAAGACTATCATTGATCCTCGGGCGCAGTGTCCGAGGCAAGGCATTTGAGAAACCACGCCCGAATACGGACATTTGCAATTTAGTATGTCAAATGAAGAAACATTGGACGACGACTTGCGACGAGGCGATAAGTCTTGCATTGACCCTTCATGATACCAGTGCGTGCTGTGTGCTGCGCGAGCGGAACGGTGTCCTGTACTAACCGGATTTTTCCAACGGCATCGTAATCACACGCCACAAATATCGCCTAACATCTGTCAACAACCCCCGCGGGACTGCGTCTGGAGAGGCGGGTGGATTACTAAGATATGTAGTAGTTCACGAGTCAGGAATTATGCTGTACGAGAGCCAATATCACACTGACCCTATGTCGGCAGGGTGGGGCGCTGGTCGGTCACTCGGATTGCTCACAGCGGAGATCGGAGGCCGGCCATGACTCAGGGTGCAATCGTAGGTCAGGTCCATGCCAGAATCAAGACAAGATTGGTATTCAATCCTTTGTGAAATCTATATACGATACAATTGAATGGAGAAAAGGAGGGGGGAAGGGAAACCGTGTTGAGACGGCCTTCGCGCGGGCATAGGCCCGAATCGTTGGTTCAGGCCTTACGCCGTCTAAGCAAGACTTGCAACGGCCGACCTTGATACCGCACGTTGAAATAGTCCTTCAAGTGGAAGTCCTCAATTCTGAACGAAGAAAGACAAATCAGATACAACCACCTCGTCAAGGAATTATATACATACGTCGTGTCGTAAATCGAGAAATCGAATTCACGCATCAGTGTGCTGAACAGGATATACAGCTCCGCCCAGGCCAAACTTGACAACAGTGTCAGTTCCGCATACGAGGCAAGTATTCCATGTGACTCACTTAATGCCATAGCATGATCTCGGGCCCCGCGAGAACGAGACGAGATACTTTGTGAGGTCCTTGTTCTCGAGCCAACGGTCGGGGTTGTATGTATACGGGTCCACGAAAATCTCAGGCTTGTGATGGATCACAGCTATACTGGACCCTACAACAGTCTACAAACCATTCAGTTGATGAGTAAACGGACCACAAAACTATGAATCTATTATAACGCACGCCTGCTGGGACCGGCCAAGCACCGATCTTGATATCCTCAGGCATGACTCTGTTCAGTGGTGTAACCACACCGTACGAGAAGCGCAGGGACTCCTTAATGCACGCAGTCTGGAATGAAGGGTCAAGTGGAGCCGGAAATCGCGGAAGACTGGACAATACCAGGTAGGGCAGCTTCTCTAGGTCCGACCACCCCATATCCCCATGTTCCTCCCAAGCATTCTTCAGTTCGTTTACCAGGCGGCAATGGATTTTGCTATTGCTGATTATGTTGAAGAAGCCGATGACAGCAGCGTTAGCAATCGTCTCGCTCCCTGCAAACAGCAAGACGAGCGTTTCGGCGACTATACTCTCCCGAGAGGGGACGGTGCCGTTATTCTTCGCCTCGGGGCTGAGGATGTGATGGTACACCGTCTCGTGCTCGGTCTTGTCCAGGATCGACGGGTCCGCGTCGGCGGCTGCGATGAACTTTGTGGCGACGTCGGCCGAAATTTGGAAAGCCGCCATGGACGGGTTAATACGGTGCATAATCCAGGTCGGGATGTAGTTCATGGCGGTCCGGAGGAACGGAAAGTGGTTGAGATACCAAAAGCCCTTCAGCGAGTCTTCGATGCCGTCTACCAGGGGGTGATGGAAGGTGGGGTGATCCATGGCGCCCAAGGGGTTCGCAGTGCAATAGTCGGATATCAAGTCCACAGCAACACTCTTGAACGCCGCGGTTAAGTCCACAGGGGTGTTGAGTGAAAAGGCCGAGAGCCTATCTACAAGCCTTCCAACCTAAAGGGCATCCAAGTGAGCTTCTCTGACAAGCAGGCAGACGATCCCCAACGCACCCGCTTCTTGATTGTATCTTCCAACTGCAGAATGGACCTCCTGGAAAACATTGGCATCAAAAGGTCTCGTCGGGCCTTCGCAGCTGCAGGATCGGTTATGGTGAACGATGTTCCCTTCATACCGGGAAACGTGTGATAAAGACTGGCATCTTTGGGAAACGAAGCTCCCGGACGGTAGATGTCGAAGAAGGCGTCATAGTCATTGAAATGTAACTATGGGGAAACACAAGTCATTCGGTCTGCGGACAATCTGCAAAAGCAAGTATAGATACCCTGTTGGGGCCGGTGCGCACGACTGGACCTTGAGATGGCGGAGATGATTGACGCGAGCCTTCAACTTGAACGTGACTACAACGTACCGTATGCAGCGTGTAGAGTATGCAAATGGTTTGTCATCTCTCCACCCTTGATGATATCAAAGTAGAGGCGGTAAAGTTCGGAGACAGCGGCGAGCTTTGGTCCGGGATAGTGGCGGAGAGGGTGGAAGAATAGACGATATATTGCAACGACGCATAATCCGACAGGTATGGTGAACGCGAGAGCGAGTAACAGCGCGGGTAAGGAGCTTTGTGATCGTACAATTTGGAGCATCCTTGTGTACCTATCGAGGGAGAAATGTCGACCTGGAGACTATAATTTTTGTGCATAGTTTTGTAATATCTGCAGCGGGTCGCATATGACGTATGCCGATCTGGAGGCGGGTTCATGGAATCCATTCTAGTTGGACTCACAATCCTGCATGGACCTACGGTCGAATGCAGTGCCAGGCTAGGTAAACCCGCATCCGCGCGGCACATGTGGTGTCAGGTCGTGGCTAGCGGTATTTGGTGATAGTCTCTCTAGATGTTCCGCCTATGTGCGGGAAAACATTCAGACCGACTGGGAAGAGGTAGAACAAGAAGGCGGCATACTTGTAAAGGGGAAAGAACCACGAGCGATCCTGACCATCAGGTCGGACGAGCCTGAGATCTGGCGCCAATACTGGGAAACTATAACACAATCAGCTATCAAAATGAACAGGCTTCTTCGCGCGAGATGCGCAGTCGTGCCTTCCGTGATGAAGTTACCCCCGGGCCCGTGACCGTAAGACGTAGTACGATGGAATCGGAGCCTTTGGCCGTCCTACGACCGTGCCTATCTTCGCCCCGGTCCTGTAAATACATCTATAAAGATGACAGAGGCGTAAAGGTCAGTCTCTACTGTTCTCTCGGTTTAGCGTTGTCGTTGCTGTAGTTCAAGTCGCTGCCACCATGCGCGGCGTTATCAACTTCCTTTCTCAGTATGCCGCCGGCTTGGCTGCATCCCTGCTCTTTCCAGGCTACCCTACGTCTGAGCTCAATGCTGCCTTCATGTACCGGGAGGCCATTGTACCCTTGACCATCGACGCTGAAATCAAGATTCTCAACATCACCGAACCTAAAGATCAGTATGAGCTGACTGGCCTATTTAGCAACTTTTACAACGTCTCGCAAAGCGCTGTTGTCGGCGCGCAAAATATCACTACCACATACGATATCGCCACTTTCCTCTACGTGCCGAACAGCTTCCAACAAAATGGAACAGTCGAACTCCTCTTACACGGGTACGCTCCACGGCCCTGAGTAGACTGTGCCTGAGACTGACCATAGCGCAGTCTGGATGCTGATCATCGTTACTGGGATTTCGGCGGCCGGGGCTCTAAATACAACTATGTCGACGCTGCTTTGGCATCTGGCCATGCAGTCCTTCTCTACGATAGACTGGGCAAGCCCTTTCTTATTTTCTCTTCCAGTTGTTTCCTGAACTGTGATTAGGAGTTGGAAAGTCCGCTAAGCCCAGCGGTCTCGAAGTTCAGCTAGCAACCGACGTCGCCGTAGCCGCAGGGTTAGTAGATCATCTACGCAAAGGTGTCTCCGGTTACTCCTTCGGGTCCGTCGTCGCCGTCGCACACTCGTTCGGCTCGTAAGTGTCCCTGCTTCATTACATGTCGTGACTAATGCTCATTCTTGTGAAGATCCACTCTGAACAACCTCCTTGCCCAGAAAGGAGACCTCGTCGACGCTGCTATCATAACTGGATTCACCCCTTTCCTCGCTGGGATGGGATTCGCACCGTACGGCCTCAACCCCCAAGTCGCCTCCCTCTTCGACCCCAAATCTTTCGGTATGTCGCCGAATAGCTTGTCCGACATAGTTTTACTTAACTTTTGACAGGGAGCCTGGACCACTACTACGTCATCTCCGGGAATAAGTGGACGGACATGATGGCGTTCTTCTCCTACACAGGCTTCGAAAAGGACGTCTTCGAGGCGTATTTTGCTGGGCGCGGGACCGAGACGCTGGGCGAGCTGCTTACCCTTGCCGTCACCGAGGCGCCTGCGTACACTGGCCCCATCCTCATCATCAACCCCGACCACGATCTGTAAGTACAAACACTTCTTGCCAAACACTTCTTGCCGGAAGGCGGTAGCTTTTCTCATCACTTTCTCTCAAAGGACGTTCTGTAATGGCAATTGTCACCAGCCGCTGAACGGGAAGAAGGATCTGAACGAGGCTACGCTGGAGCTGTTCCCGAACAGACGGAGGGGCGACACGCACATGGTCGGGAACACGGGGCATATCATGAACATGCACCTGAGTGCGCCTGGGGGATATGAAGTGATGCAAAAGTGGATCGCGGAAGTGCTTGCGTGAGTAGGATAGGACGCGTAGCACAAATTCCGCATGTATCCTCCGTGACAGGTAGCAAATTCCCTCATTGCTACTGACTCGTGTATGCCTCGTGCTTTTTCGCGGATCCGTTCGATTTTGCCTGTGGTGGGTCCATACGCCGGCAACTGTATTGAATCGCCTGAGGATGTACTTCCACTCTGCAATACTCGTTGTAAGAATATTGTGTCGGCGTACTGCGATTTACTACTCATGATACAATTCTATTGACTACTGTGCGAGTCCAGTGCCAGGCGACAAGACGAGCTCGACTGTCTTGCTCACTTTATTCCATCCGTTGAAGGATAGATTCCAGACATAACTGTTAGGACTAACATATTCACACGAATCTATCAATGAGGCGTGCTCCACTCTGCAATCTATCCATCGTATTTATTCACTGCTGCCAGGTCCATCTAAGCCGCCAGTCAATAAGCCTGCGTAATCAAAGCCACGATAAACACTCACCGTGTCTATCCCATACGTGAAGAGACGTCCGCACGCTTGAAGGAAGGCCATGTGTTCACTGACATACGTCGCGCCAGCCGCTAGACGACGAGCAGAAGGTGGACGTGCGCAGGGGCCAAAGGAGGCTCCGGCGCCCATGGCCTCGATGTACTGAGCACACATTAAACACATGCACCATGAAAGTCGGGAAGGCTCAACGCTCACCGGAGAAAGGGACGGATGCGGAGAGAGCTCTATGAAGGTCGATTGCTCCCCATATTCGGCCACCAACTTCTCAACGACAGGCTTCATCAATATCGTGCGCCGTATGCTGTCCCACACGTAGTCCACCGTCGGTGCATCCGTCTTCCACTCCCCTGTGACACTAGACATCATCGGGATAACCGGCGCCCTGACGCACTTGCCATGCAGCTCGAATATCCGCTCGACCTCCTCACGGAACGGCGCCTCCGAGAGGTCGAGGAACGGCGAGTGCACGGCGCTGCCGACGTGGATGCGGGTGTACGACGCACCCGGTGGGAGGTTATCCGCAAAGTACTCGACGTCGGCGGAGGGCCCGACGACGCCCATCACGGTGGGCGTGATGAAGCTCGAGATGTAGAGGTTCCGCCGGATGTGGGTTGGGAGCGTGTCCATGGCTTGCATGACGAGTGCGTTGGAGACGTCCATGACGCCGATGACGAGGCCGCCGGAGTTGTCGATGCGCAGGAGGGCGCGCCCGATCGCGATTACGATTTTTACCGCCATCTGTGGTTCGACATCGTTATTGTGTGGTCCTAAGGTATACGCGGAAGAGGAGTATAAGTACATACCTCCCGTGAAATCGCACCGGAACCGTACAATGCCGTAGTTTCTCCGAGGGAGAATCCCAGTACTACATCCGGAGAGACATTGATTGACCGTAGCAAGTCGTACATAGCGATCTGATATATAGCGTTTGCAAGACAGACCACATCACCAGGCCAGATATCCATATGCTCCAGATCCAGTCGCTGGGACGGCTGGCCGATGAACAATCCCGTATCAGACAAGAACGATCGTCCGGTGTGCTGCACATGGATCTTGTCGCACTCGTACACAGACTGAGCGAAGACGGGGTGGCGCATCAGGTCATGCCCTTGCTGCCAGTACTGGGGCCCTGTTCCGCCGAACGTGAACATCAGTCGCTTGGGTCGCTCGGGCAGGGAGACAGGTTTGGCGTATTGGGCGGTTTGCTGCGACTCCGCGACCGCGAAGGTCCGGTAAGGAAGCAACTTCGCATTAGCGTTGCGGTTGAGTGCTATTTCACTCGGAGGCACGTTGTGCGTCGAATCCTTGTTAGCTATGTAATCTTCTAGGGCATCGAGAGATTTCGCGGCTAGGGAGACTCGTCCATACGTCTTCCCAAGGCGATTGGAAGAACATGCGCACCTGCAGTGAAGAGCCGCTGCGTGGTCTTCTTAGGCGCTACTGGTGGCCCGAGTACCGCTTCTAGAGGCAAAGTGAATTTTAGGCCTGTAAATTAATGAATCGGCCTACCTCCCATGTTAAAGTATGACTGGGATTGCGCAAACACAGCAACGCGCCTCTTACGGGGACTGCGCGGGGTGGAGGCAATATCTTCAACTCACGGTAAGGGCAACAACTTAGCTATCGTACACGTCGCAAAACCGCTCAATGCCCGATGTCAAGGGTATGGTAAGACTAACAGATAAGCCGCCAAATTCAGCAGTAGATCGCCAGGGCTCGCGCAAAGCCACGCATTCCGCCTCAGGCCGAGCATCTAAATCGTCTATGGCTTCTCTGCCAATCAAGATGAAATGTCGGTCTTTCACCGGACGAAACGCTATCATCTTCTAGGCTGGATAGGGACCCTGAAAACAGACCCGAGTCACCTCGAGCATCTCCATGTATTGTTCCTCACGGAATTACTTGTGGATCTCAGCTTTGCAATAGGGAGATGTTCTGATCTGACCTGCGCTCGAATAGAAATGATGGACAGTGAGCAAAGACTGAATCGTAATCGGCGTTTTCTGACAATGCCATATTTGCACATACGGGCGATTAGTACCTCCGCCGAGCGGAGACTAACGAGCACTGCAGAGCAGTCCACTAACGCCGGACAAGTCGTACGAACAGCTTTCGTGATGCGGTAACAGATCCAAGATGCAGAAATTTGCAAGACGGAAGCAAATGCCATGATTGATAGCCGTGGCTATGCCAGCTGCAAGTCCGGACCGGGATAGTTGCCGGCCATCGGCACGCTCTGGGGTTAGGAGTAGGGTCGTCATGGCGGGATTTTCTTCTTTTGGTACCGCCGTCGTCCTCTCTCAGGCTCCCGTACTTGCATGAGTAGACGGAGGTTTCTGTGACCTTGACATTGCGAGATGCACGGAAAAATGCGGCACCTTTCTGTGCTGAGACGCACCCCTTAGCGCCAGAGCGATCCACACGCCACAACTTCATCCTATAATTGCCACAAAGACCGTGCAAGACGGCAATCCTTCTATTCTCGAGCATCAGGGCCATCTCTGACCCCGAAAGAGCGCCCAGGATCAAGGCCGCCTGTTGTAATGTAGGCGGTCACAAGGACCTGGATGACAAGACGTTCCGTATAGGAAATTGTTGGGCAACTCTTGGCTCGTAATTCTGGCGAGCTGAGGATTAAAGTGATCTCCACCCCGGATTGCGACATTTACCTCAGAGAAAGACGCTCGCATAGATCTCGTTCGACGCCCAAGATAATCATATCAATTGGATGCTTAAGTTCTCCCAATACGTAAGTACAACTGCTTGATCGGAGGCAGTCCATTCATTCATTTGTAATCTGACACACTGGGGAGGTTACTCTGCGTTAGGCTCCCGTTTGTTCATCATTTCGGAGAGATGGTAGTTCTGAACAAAATACCAAACCCTTCCGGTTAACTCTGACGCAAGGTGCGCCTGCCCGCAGCTACATTGCTTGACCGTCGTGGCTTGCCTACTGAGGTGAGCAGGAACGGACCATTCTTGCGCAAGGTCGGAGATGCATCGTCTGAACAGTGCCTCGCCTTGCCGCCCCTGTCCGTCCACCACTTTGCATCATTACCGACTTCTCAACACCGACGCAACCGTTCATACCTCGTCGGGAATCAGCCGCAGCGTGCGTACCTTACGTAGCTGTGCGTGCCGATACACTAACCATCTGTAGAGTTTCACGCAGGTTGCATATGCACATCGGCCACAGATGCGACAAACGACAGTGCAACACCAAGCCCTATTCCCGGAATCGACGCCGCGCCCCTAGAGGCTAAGCGAATGTGTATCACGGCTCCGACACGTCGGCAGAGATCCTTGGAACAGGCTCTCCAGGGGCTACTACCGTTGATCATTGTACGCACTCAGCCTAGAGCGCGCCTCCTGCGTTTCCAAACCGAGCATGACTCGACTCCACTGTTTCATTTCGTGCGTAGTTACTATTCCCATGCGTAAGGCTGTCCTGGTTGCCCATGGCCCTAGTACTCAATTTGAATGACAGGGTCATATCCCACCGATGATGGCGGCATCCGCAGGATCTGCAACACGTTTCTCGGCGCGCGCCCGCGCCCTTATAAGCGAGCGCAAGCGAGCTGGAGGAAACCCATCGCAGCGCAATATTTCGTCTAATCGTCTGATTCACTAATGTTGCGACTTGCGGCCCTCGTTTCGCTCTCTTTGACGCTTGTCAGCCCTTCGTTTGCGGCTCTATACAATAGCCTGGCAGAATTGCCTACTAATAAGACTTATGACTTCGTCGTTGTTGGCGGTACGTGATATCAGATTTGCGTCTTTGAAGGTGTTGAAAAGCGACATTTGCATAGGCGGCACTGGTGGGAGCGTCGTAGCGACTCGATTGACGGAGAACTCCAACACGAGCGTGCTTGTGCTCGAAGCCGGACCCTCGTGAGTTTCCCTGTCACCGTTAGAGACACAGCGCGGGCCTGACTTCAGATGACTCAAGCAATCGTGGTATCTTGAATGCCACCGTTCCGTTCTATGGTTTCTACATTACCACGGGAACCGAAATTGACTGGAATTACACCACCACTGCGTAGGTCCTTCAGATCACAGTTATGTCCCTTTCTAATCTTAGAATCGATCAGACAACCTGGATTTGGCGGAAGATCAGTTATTTCCCGTGCCGGGCATGTCCTTGGTGGCTCCAGTTCAGTCAGTGAGTACTCTTTCGTCCAATGGGGCTGAGAAGCGAGATTCTTATCCAGTCAAAGACGGTATGATCTGGGTGCGCGGATCCGTCGCCGACTGGAATCACCTCGCCAACGTCTCCGGCGACCCTGGCTGGGGATGGGATAATATCTACACGTATTACAAGAAGGTGTGTATTCGTGATCAGATAGCGCGTAAGTATGTGGCAATGTCTGATGAATCCGCGCGAATTCCAGCTCGAGCAGTACACTCCCCCTAGTACCGGGAAAGATGTATCCGGGGAGTATGACCCTTCGGTGCACGGTACCAGCGGCCCACTCGGTATCAGTATGCCTGGCGTCACTGAAGACACAGATGCCCGCGTTATTAACACCACCAAGGAGTTCCCTGATGAATTTCCCTTCGTGTTGGACTATAACAATCCCGACACGCCCATTGGCATGGGTAAGTCCACTGGAGATCGATATCGTGAAAATGACTAACGGATTCTCTGTCAGGCTGGGTCCAGAACACCATCAGGGATGGCACGCGTGCCAGCGCTGCCTATGCGTACCTCACGGATTCCGTCCTCGCTCGCTCAAACTTGGATGTCGTGGTAAACACGCGGGTCACGAAGCTCACCGGTTCGACCAACGGCACGATTGACACCGCACAGGTCACCAACGCCGATGGTAGGCCTGTCATCTTCATACACAAATAGGCCAGCGCCCTCACCTTGTGGGCTGTACAGGTTCCGTTACTTCTCTCAAAGCCTCCAAGGAGATCATTCTGTCCGCCGGCACGATCAGTGACACTCGCATCCTGCTCAACAGCGGCATCGGACCCGCGTCTCAGATCCAGAATCTCAAGGGAGTTGAGCTTGTCAAGGATATTCCAGACGTCGGTCAGAACCTCGCCGATCACATGATCATGCCCATCATCTGGCGGGTCAACTCGACCAACACGATAGATTACTATGCGCAGCACCCCGAGGCGGCGCAAGCGGCGTTGGAGCAGTGGCAGACGAACAAGACGGGCCGCTTTGCGAGCGGAGAACCCTTCCAGGCTGGTTTCTTCCGCCTGAATGAGTCCGACCCCGAGGTGCAGTCAATGATTCAGAAGTACGGCGATCCCGCTACTGGCCCGGACTCTCCTCACATTGAGATGGTCGCCCTCGTACGTGCGCACTCTTATGACTTTTTGTCTCATTGCGCTGAGGGATATGGCTATCATACAGAATGGTAACCCGTCTGGAGTCTCCGCTGCTGGCGGATACTACTTCGCTCTTGCCTGTGTCAATCTGGTGCCGTACTCCAGTAAACCCATTCCTCACTATTCTCGTTGTGGCAGTTCACTGACTATATTCAGGGGGTAATGTCACCCTCAACCCCAGCGATCCCCTCGGCCAGCCTCTCGTGAACCCGAACTACTACGACCACCCGATGGACATCTTTATTGTTTCGCAGTGCATGCGTATGGCAATCAAGTTCGCGTCCGGCTCCGCGTTCAAGGGTTACCTCGAAGACAACTATGTCGGACTGGAGGGTGTCATTGACAGCAACGGTAACATCAACGAGGACGCGCTGTACGCGAACGCGCGCAACATCACCGTCGCTGGGGACCACCAGATCGCCACGAACATCATCAGCCCCAAGGGCGCGAGCACCGGTGTCGTCGACCCCGACTTGAAGGTGAAGGGCATTAACGGGCTGCGCATCGTCGACTTGTCCATCTTCGTGCGTTTATTTCTTTCCTTGTCTCCCGCTGCGGAAGATGTTCACGAGGAATTGTGCAGCCTCACACTCCTGCGAGCCACACCGAGTCGATAGTGTACGCCATCTCCGAGCGGGCATCCGACCTCATCAAGCAGGAATATGCTTGATCCTATTTATCTATCTATCAACAAACAAGGCGTCTGTCATTAAGTACTTTCGGGTGTCACCGTTGCATTATTTAATTGGTATCATCACACGGACAGTACACCACTCATTCAGCATTTGTATCTTGCATATATGTAGCAGGATCAATGGCATCTAATGTATTGCAAATCAATGTTTGCCTATGATCGATATTTCGCTGTCATGTCCAAGTCCGAAGTCCGAGTCGTCCACTTCTGTAGGTTTGCGTGGGGTTCTCGCACTTGATGGTGTTTCCCTCAACTTTCCTGCACAATCACTCTCAAAGTCCTTCTCCTGCTCTCTTTCCACTGCAAGTACAAGTAGTATGGATAATCCACAGGGTTCTAAATCCTACACCAGAAAGTACTTGGAGTGTGGGCCCGGATCGTCTCCGAGTCGCGATTCGTAAGAATCTTTTATGATGCATATACGAGCAACAGTTCAAGGTATCAGGTCAGGATGCCCTTCATTTGCTGTTCTCATGAAGCTGTCCTGATCCTGGGAGAGCATGCCTAAATATCGATAACCTTGCGTACCAGTAGAGAAGCACTAAACATGGTAAAAGACGCGTTATTTCGCATTTTAGAAAAAAAGGCTATTTTGTTTCAATTTCTTGGAGGAAAAAGCCATCATGTTGATCTGGAAGCCAATTAAACCCAATCTTCACCTGCTGCTCACCCTTCCACTCGCAAGTTAACGATCCGCGCCACCTTTCTCCCCACGGTGACCCCGTCTTGCCCTGGACGCATACGGCTCTCTGCCTTGTGTGTTGTCTGAAGTGTACTGCCATATACATGACCTCTGCTGGACATTTCCCTCCCTGTCTCTGGTCCACTGCATCACTACCTGCCCCTATGCACTTGGCATCCCCTCCCCTCCCATGCTTGCAGCCTGTGTCAAGACAGCTTGCTCAGATGGATTTGGATTTGCTGTGCAGCGGTTTGGCGCGGATAAGCCGACGTGACCACGCACGCGACGAAACGGGGAGAGGGGGGGGCGGGTTGGCGCGCGCGTCGTCTCGTCGTACTGTCAGTGTTCGTGCGAAGCAGATCTGCGCCGCATAGACTCGGTCGGCTTTTCTCCACACTCATCGACAAACGGGATCTCGTAGTCGTGGCAGACTCGTATGGACCTGCCTTGTACCGCTTCATCTGCGCGCCTGCCCTCCGTCCATGAATCTGGCGCGCGTGACCGGATTCGGTTCCTTTCTCCGCATCTATCAGGCGGTGGATGGTCTCAAGCGTATGCCCTTCCTCGCTGTTTCTACGACTGCGTGTCGACTGTTGCCCCCGCCTGGTTCTGTCGGACTGTTGCTGGGTGGGCGCGCACGTTGCCCTACTGCGAGGAATGCGGGGTTTCAGCCCGGCGACTCGAGGATCTGGAATACACGAGACGACGTCTGCATCCACACCGGCATCGTCCCCTGACCGGACGGCGGACGCGTGGTGCGTACGACGTGCCGCGGACTCTGATGCCTGGTACAAGGGAACTACGAGGAAAATCATCGGCGCGGCCTCCCGCCCGGGCCGCCCTGTGTACTGTACTCGAGGCTGGGACGAAAAACCGCACCCGGTTGTTCACGGCTAGACCTTGCGGCCGGGACGTGCAACCAGTGATGCTGACGCTCTTTCTGGTCACCGTGGCGGGAACGGCGGTCTGGAGCGCCCACCGCACTCCCTCGGGTCGGCTGCGGTTGGGGGATAGTTCAAGATCGGGCGCGGCTGTGGGGTGCATAGGACAGGAAGTTGCGCCCCGCGGCTAGCTATAGGCTGGGTGGGCTGCGTGATCCTGTACATGCACTGTGCTTATGATCTTCAATCAGCGCAGCCTTGTACATGCTGTGTATCTATGGGCGGGTAATCGGTGCTGACTATCTATCGAACCCGTAGAACGTCCGCTGTACGTATAAATGCTCGCCGTCCCTCCTTCCCCGGCTAGGATCCCTGCGCCATGGGCCGCTCGGCGTACAACATCCCCCCGGGCGTCCTCGAAGTCCGCGGCGCGCGCTTCGCGCATCTGCGGCGGCGTGGGGACACGATCGCCATCGACGGCACGCAGTACGAATACTGCGGCAGCTCGGCCGAGTCGTCCGTCGACCAGCCAGGGCTCGGGCGCACGCTCGGCGTGCTGATCTCGCGCGTGTCCGCGCCGCTGGAGATGTTCCTCAGCTACGCGGCGGAGCGGTGGCTCGGGCGCGGGCCGCGCGCGCTGGTGCGGAGGGTTGTGGAGGAGGTGTTTGGGCGGGTGGAGCTGGCGAGGACGGAGCGGATGGAGTTGTTTTTTGAGTCGTGGGGTGTTATTTGGAGTCTTGCGGCGGTCCAGGTTCGTACTACCTCACTCGTCGCCTTGCTAAGTGTGAACTGGCGCTAGGGTCAGCCGAAGCGTGACCCACGAGTCGGGGAACGCATGAGGCTTCTGAGTAATTATATAGTGTGAGTGCGTATGTGCGTCCTTGGTCAGTATGATGGTAACGTCGACATCGGGCTGCTAGTGACCGCCGCCAGAGATTCTCGACGCGCGTCTTGGCAGCGTACTATCTGACTTTTCTGCTCTCCTACGTGGGTCATCGTGAATCCCCGTGTCCGAGGATCTCCGCTGATGGGCTTCTCGATCGACTGTATGCTCTATGTGCATAGTGGAGACAGCATACACCGACCTCGGGGGATCCGCTGTACCGCCTGGTCTTCGACGCCATGACGGCCGGCGAGGCGCTCGAGGCGTGCCGCGTCCCCGCGGCGGATGTAGATGTGGATGTGGGCCCCGAGTTTGACGTCGTCGAGGTTACCGCGCAGGTGTTCGCGTTGCGGATGTGGTACAGGGAGGGCGATCTGTGAGCGGCGTCGTGGTGTGCTGGGTCGCGATTTTCCTGACTGGCTGATCGTCTAGGTATTTCGTGCAGACGTGGCACCGGATGCCGGGCTCGCGAGGGAAGTGGACTGGCCGCTGGGAGGCGCGCTCGGTTTTTCTGAGGTGATTTGATTCGGGACTCGACCGTTCATCAAGTCCGCGCATTGAGAGACGCCGTGCTGCTCTTCAGCTTGCTGTTAGGAACAGGTAGACGTACAATTTTTTAATCTCATCTCTTCGAGCAATGATGTTGGACAACTGAATATCACCAAACTATGCAATTTCCACAAGCTATCTATTATATGTCGTGCACATCTCACTTATTCAGAAGGAAGCATGGACGGCGCTAAGAGTTGCTCAGGGTCCTTAAGAAGTGCTCATTTGAAAGGGTCCGCCCTTTTCCCTTCGAGAAATATAGTACTAACAGACGACGTGGTGTTTGTCTGCCCATGAAAAGCGAAGGAGAAGACTACCGGTAGACAAATACCCAGGAGGAGGATCACAACACGTCCCTGAAGTCCACTGGGATATACTTCCATCCCGTCACGGCGAGCTCTGTGTCGCCACATACAAGATATATTGCATCCCGTCTCCGCATCCAGGCCCGCCACTGGCAACCTCGTTGCGTGGGCGTTCCCCCTTCATCGCGTCGGTCTGGTCTCTGGTCTCGTTGACATCCTCTGCTTGAGTTGCCCTTCTCGCTCCCAGCGTTGTCAAATCATGCTATCCCAACGTGAAGGCGTTTAGGCTGTGGAGAGTCTGTGCCGTGAACCATGACGGCTTTCGAGGTGGTAGGGGTCAGCGGCTCCGGGTGCCAGCGCGAAATGTCGGGGGCGCTGGCATGGCCGGGGCATATGCTCCGGCTCTGCAGCCTGGACAGGATCGCGCGTTTTCTGTCTCGCGGTTAGAACCTGGCCCCGGTCCGCGATCATATTCCGCTATGCTCCCTGGCGATGCGTGGCCCTGGAAGTACCCGTTCTCTGCCCGCAGGTCTTCGGTATGAATGCAGTTTCGACGATTGGCTCACTTCGGATGGCGAGAGGGCGATGGTTGAACAGCGGAACGGGGCTGTGTCTGTACTTATCTCTCCCCGCGACGGCTCTGGGAGCTCTTGCAGCCTCGAAACTGGATGTGAAGACTGCCGCGCTTCGGATTGTTAGTAAATGCAGCGACTGACTTGGACTGGATGGCAGATTCCGATGTTGCCGTTACCCGCGTACGTCTTAGTTACGGTGAGTCCTCGCGTTGGAGTCCAAGGCACTGCACCGTTATACGTCGTTGTCTCGGTAGGCCTGCAACAACTTATTCCTCGGTATACTCGCGTTAACGACGGAGGATGTGGTCACGTGCAATTTCCCAAGCCACCGCAAGACCTGCCTCCCGCGCTTGTACCCCCGTTTTGCCTCGCGCGGCGATAGCTCGTTTCATGGTAACTACCAGGTAGATAGAGTCCAGGAAGGGGACGTGTTGAGACCTTTCCAAACACCCGCAGGGATCACGGTGACGTGCCAAGGGGAGGGGAGCGTGCCCCAGCCATCCATCCACTTCCCGCGCGCGTCTCGCTCGCGGAAGCGCGCTTCCTCTGGCCAGCAGCGGCTACAGAGGGGTCAGCGATCGGAGGATAACAGATAGACTGGATGATGGAGTGCTACCTTCCCAAGTCGAGAAGCTTTGTACTGAATGGCGGTGTGGAGATGTCCACTGCCTCCACGGCGTTGCGACTTGTGCGGAGAGCGTGGAAGGCCTCACCGGTAAGGGTTGCGTCTGAGGCGAGGCGGTACAACGCGTGCGCGAAATCCTTGCAGACGTGGAGCTGGGCGTAACACAACCTCTCTGAGCTAATGGCAGGTGAAGAAATGAGGATATACTCACCTGCTCGGGGTTCGGGAACGTGTGGACAAGGCATAGCGAGTAGTATGCGGCGAGTAAACGAATGGGGAACTTTTGTCGGCGGTCACTGGTGGTACTCACATGAGACCCAGGATTATCACAACTTAGTGTATACGGCACTCGCATTATGTAGTTGCGGAATACGGTCATGACCTCAAAAACTCTTTCCTTCTGTTTCTGACGGCTCTGGCACCGTGTCACAGTCAGCCTCGGGTGGGACACTGGAAGGGGATAGTTACCAACTAAACAAGAACTCGCTAGTAAGTAGTCATAATTGCGGGCTGTGACTTCACTCGGGGCCTCGCGGGTGCCCGCGGGCAAACAACTGCTCATCGCGTCCCTGACCAGCCCCGCAAAGAGCGCCCGCGGCGCTCGAGATGTTCCTCAGTTATGCTGCGGAAGCACGGCTGGGCCGCGGGGCGCCGATATGCGCGAGACGAAGATCCCGTATGTCTTGCCCAGGCCGACTTGGTGCGCCTCGTCGATAGACTCGTCTTCAGAGCTGTCTCAATACTCGTACTTTGTGCCGTCGATGGTGATCGTGTCCCCGCGGCGTCGGAGGCGGTTGGCGAGCGGGCCGCGCAGTTCCAGCTCGCCTAGGACCATATTATAGGATGAGCGAGGCATGGTGGGGAGTGACCAAGGTGGATGAGGGATGGACACAGAGTGTCAGGGCTAGGCGTCTGTACAACCCGAACGTATGCCAAGAGATACACAGCAAGGCCCACAGATACGAGGCGGTGTACACGGCACGAGCCCTATCGACTGCCAGTGTATAGCAAAGTGAGGTAAGTCTAGGAGACGGACCGTACTTACAATACACGTGACTCCCAACAGAAAGCGTTGATCCTTCATTGACTAATCGCCAACCACAGGAGCAATTCCCAGTTGTTGGTCTTCGAACTTGAAGCCTGAAGGTCTAGGCCGAAAGGAGCGCTAGAGCACTTACTGACCCCCCTTTGAAAGCTCGGCAGCACGGACCACTCTATGGTCAATGAGAATTGCACAATGCAAACGTTCTCGATTGGCGACGACGCCGACGAGCAGGTACGTCGAGGCACTCGTGGGAAACCGGAAGCAAAATACAGGCGAGGACCGCGAGGTTAGACGCCGGCTCTTCGTGCTCGCCTGCGAGCACAGGCCGATTTGCGACAAAGGCTTTCCTCCTTTTCTGTTCTGACTACATCCCTTAGATGGAGTCACTATCGATCGCCAAATGTTACATACTAGCTACGCCTGCTGCGGGGGTTGAGTCGTTCGGGTTATGTCGACTCGTATTATCTCATACTCCGCCCGAGCTCGGACCTGGAGGTAGGGTTCCGTAAATTTGGGACGGCTCCTAATTAGCATTGCTAATTTGCAGGTCGCTGGCCGGAGGCCAGATTTGCAGGTGTAATTTACCGTTAATTAGCGCTAATTAGCATGCTAATTTGGTCTAATTTACATGCTAATTACAGAAAAGCTACCAAGTATCCCAAGAGACCACCTCCTCAGATGTACTAATATCAGCTCGGTGTGCTGCTTTGCCAGCATTTATTGATGCCACTGGTCTGGGGTTCACAGCCACGTCTGAGAGGACATCTTGCAGAAATTCGGATGTGAGGTCGATATATGCCTCAAGCTCAACTCCGCCAATCTTGGGTAGAGTGAACTTGTCCCGTGCGGTCTGACTAGTACTTGGAGGTTCCGCTTCATACTCACTGTCAGGTTCTTCGTCCAGCTCCAGAGGGCCCGTGCCCATAAGGGAAGGTTGTACATCGCTGGATTCCATAAGGCCGGTAGCTGAATCACCAAATATGGTTGAAGACATCTCTCGCCACTTGACCGTTGGCAGAGTCTTAGGCGCTGCCACCTATACTCGCATAGTGGTCAGCGAAGTTCGCAGTCCTGTGTAAAAGGTGGCTGATACCTGGGGATTCCACCTATGCCAGCCACGGATCATAATAGTGTCATTGAGAGTCAAAATGTCTTGTCGACTCCGTAACTTGGAATTCAACCATGTAACGCTCGACATAGCTCGTTCGTCAACCATGGAATTTACCGACACCGAGAAGATCTTCACAGCAAGTGCCTAACAAACCTCCCAACGTTAGGAAGGCCCATTGTGGACATATAAGGTCAACTTACGCCGAGAACCTGGCCCATCTGATCTCTTCGTACGGCTTCCCACCACTGCTTGACAGTCTCACCATCACGGAAGCGGCGATTAAAAGGCTCTCGTCTCTTCACGTAACTTTGAAACTGCTCTTCAGCAGAACGTTCGCATC